ATTAACATATCTTTTGTTTCAAAGAGTGGGAGAGGTCTGAGGTGTGAATTGGTCATTACAATGCGTGACAAGCTTGGTAGGAACATCCTGTGTTCAGTGTTTTGCCCATTTGAATACCTTGAAAACGCTTTGCATGCATCTTTCATGATGAAGAAAGGCTCTGGACAGCATCGGGAACTGGAAGAGTTAAAAAAAGTTTCAAACGCAAACGCTTATAAACAGGATTTGCAGCGTTTACAAGCGTTTTGTGTTTGAAACGCTGATAAAATCGACTGCTAAATGCTAGTTTTCTTCGTTCAAAAAAACGCCTGTAAATGACTGTAAAGGACACGGACACATAGGAACACATTAGTGAGAGTTCAGGGGCTGCTGAAAAAACGCTGAACAGCTCCTGAACGTGAGTTTATCAGCTGCAGTGTACATGAGTCCTAACATGTTAATTTAATGATCAGAAGTCGTTTTTTATTATTTTTGGATCTGCAGTTTTCTTTAAAACATTACTTTGTGATCCCTGTGCAATAATCATCTGAGCCGAGCGCAATGCAATTTAGAAAATGGCAGAAATGTTCTGACGATTACAAAAAAAAAAAAAATCAAGCTTTGTTTAAAGGAAGAACACCAAGACGAAAAAGGATTAAAATGCAATTAGACAAATGAACTTCAAATTAGGATGCGATTTAAACGTACTTACAGCTCTTCTTTTTTCACTCTGCGCTTTATTGCAATATGTACAACTGTAATTGTATTCCCATTTTCTGAACAGCCAAAAACATAATAAAAAAAATATGACGTGAAATTAAGCGTTGAATTCAGGCGACGTACATAGGCGGGAAGGGCGATTGGCTAGATTTTAGGACCTATGCACTTTTCCAGCGCTTTACTATGCAGGGTTTATATTTCGAAAGAGTAGTGAGGCTCCCAGCATGCAATGCGATTTCCCAGAATGCAAAATAATAAAATATTTGCACATATGCAAAATACAAATGCAAATACATTACCCTGTGATGGATCATTTTACAGTTCGTTTCCATACAGATTCACTGGACACAGAGACACGGTTATCACATATGTTCGCCCCAGAGGGGTAAATACCTGGAAGGAAAAAACAGAATGCAATGCATGAAGGCACTGTCAGAAGTTATAGATGACTAAATTGAAGTGTTACTGAACCCGCAGCAGTACAATCAGTCTGTAGATGCAGTAAAGCATGCTTGTTATACTCACTGGGGAACGTAAGGGGTTAATCCTCTGCATTGTGTAAATAGACTGTTTGATCCCGTCTTCTCTGATCCTCCCCTTTTTCCAGTGCCCCCCTCTCATCTCCTGATAAGACATATCGTGTGGAGTCACTCTGCACATGCTCAGTTTGGTGTGTATTGCTAGAAAGTTGTTTTTTTTTCTTGGGAGAGTGCATGTGATCAGTGGTGTATTTAGGTTTCGGGCTGCCCTAGGCAACACAAAAATTGCCCCCCCCCCCCCACGGAGAGACCCTGACACCGACCAACACCCCCCTCCCCATGAAGAGAGCCTGACATTAACCAACAACACCCAAGCCCCCACCCCCATCCGAGAGAGCCTTCCACTACTACTGCCCCCCATACACTGGGAATGCCCCCCTTTCACCCTGCGAGAGAGAAGACACTCACCTTCACAGCTCCGGACATCCCCAGGAACAAGTCAGGCTCTGAATAGATCATCAAGAAGCCCGCAGCCTCTCTCAGATCCCACCTGGTCCCCATGCTGCGTGTGTCCCTTCTTCCATCCCTTCTTTTGGGGGGCAGTGCTGCGCCCCTGAAAAATGCTGCTGCCCCCCTGTACAAGGCTGCTGCCCCCCTGAAAGATGCCGCCCTAGGCAAATGACTTGTTTGCCTTGTGGTAAATACGCCTCTGCATGTGATCAGCACAGGGCGAATCAGAACTGTCCAGACAGAGCTCAGGGGTTCTGCATCCTCCTAGAGCAAAATGAAAACTCCTCCTACATGCTTTAACCAGTGCTCTGCTGGACACTGATAGAAGTCATAAGATTGCTCTAACTGCTGATGAGAAAAGGTATTTAGCAGTTTATATTTACTACAATAATTGCATTTCCATGTTCTGTGTACTGTGGGAGACCGGATATATTTTTTTCCCTGCAGGAGCAAATTGGATCGTGCTTTGCTGGGTTTTTTTGCCTTCCTCTGGATCAACTGTGGGTGTAGGATTATAACTTTTTTTTTTTTTTTATGGTTGACCTGGATGGACTTTTGTCTTTTTTCAGCCAGACTAACTATGTAACTATATCCGCCTCACTCGTAACCTTCTTTTTCCCCCACCAGCCTACTGGCTGATCAAAGAAAAATACGACCCATGTACCCCATGTAAAGAGCAACTACATGTACCCCATGTAAAGAGGAAATACATGTACCCCATGTAAAGAGGAACTTCATGTACCCCGTGTAAAGAGGAACTACAGGTACCCCATGTAAAGAGGAACTACAGGTACCCCATGTAAAGAGGAACTACATGTACCCCATGTAAAGAGGAACTACATGTACCCCGTGTAAAGAGGAACTACAGGTACCCCGTGTAAAGAGGAACTACAGGTACCCCATGTAAAGAGGAACTACATGTACCCCGTGTAAAGAGGAACTACAGGTACCCCATGTAAAGAGGAACTACATGTACCCCATGTAAAGAGGAAATACAGGTACCCCATGTAAAGAGGAACTCCATGTACCCCATGTAAAGAGGAACTACAGGTACCCCATGTAAAGAGGAACAGGTACCCCATGTAAAGAGGAAACTACATGTACCCCATGTAAAGAGGAACTTCATGTACCCCGTGTAAAGAGGAACTACAGGTACCCCATGTAAAGAGGAACTACATGTACCCCATGTAAAGAGGAACTACATGTACCCCATGTAAAGAGGAACTTCATGTACCCCGTGTAAAGAGGAACTACAGGTACCCCATGTAAAGAGGAACTACATGTACCCCATGTAAAGAGGAACTACATGTACCCCATGTAAAGAGGAACTACCCCATGTAAAGAGGAACTACAGGTACCCCATGTAAAGAGGAACTACAGGTACCCCATGTAAAGAGGAACTACATGTACCCCATGTATGTACCCCATGTAAAGAGGAACTACAGGTACCCCATGTAAAGAGGAACTACATGTACCCCATGTAAAGAGGAACTACATGTACCCCATGTAAAGAGGAACTACATGTACCCCATGTAAAGAGGAAATACAGGTACCCCATGTAAAGAGGAACTACAGGTACCCCATGTAAAGAGGAACTACATGGTGGCTAACATCCCTCCTGCTGCTCTTCTACAAATGCCGCCATCGTGAAATACCCCACGTATGCGCAGATGTGATGCAGGATTCTGCTAGGTATTTGAGGGCTGCAGCATGTTTGTGAAAGCTCAGGGCATTCCCGAATATGCGCACATGTGCTGCTAGTTTCAGGTATCAGGGACCTTGTACAGACCTGCGTCATTTATGTGCATCATCATTCCCGCACACGTGCAGACATGTCACTGCCAGGTCCTAAATACCAAGCAGACACCACATCTACACGTGCATGGATCTCGCAGCATGCACGCACCCATCAGTAAAACCCCACCGTCTGAAATGCGTGCCATGGACACCCCAAGAGGCAGCGGAGGTCTTACATCATTTCCACCTGAGGAAGCATTGGAGGAAACACCTTCACACTTTGTACAGGACAGCAGAGAAACACGTATTAAAATGGGTCCACTTTAAGCCCTGATCGAGGACGAAACATGTCCGTAGTGGCCTCATATTCTGGTAAGAAAGCGGGGGGAGTGTATCAATGCAGAAAACCATGGAGTTCTTTTAATAAAGCTTGTTGAAACAGAAGAAAAAAATCCCATCGGATTGTTTATGACTGAGCCTTAAGGGCCGGCTCACACTTATAGCAACGCAGTCCAGATGCGTTCCGGATATGTGTTTTTGGTGCGTTCCGGATGTGTTTTTAATGCGTTCCAATGCATTTTTCATGCATTCCAGTTTTTCTCCCTCTCTTTTTCTTCAATTTAAATAGGGACATGTGCGTTCCAGTGCGTTTTTTTTGCCGTTTACCGCATTCCAGTACAGTTCTGTGCAGAAAAAAATGCAGTCTGTTCTACTTTTTTTTCTGCCACCGGAATGCGCTGGAACTGCAAGCACTGATGTGAACTATGACATTGACAGCCATCGAACCTACTAGGTCAAATTTACCTCTGAGGCCTACTTTGGAATATTCCATTTCTCCTCACCTATCACTGATGGACCATTTATAAACCACATCACCGCTCAGGACGCTTGTATGAATATTAGGCCTCAGGCACAGGCGGTTTTTTGTTCCAGAGGAGGAAAACGCAGCTTAACCACTTGTCCCCCCGCCCTATAGCAGAAATACTTCTACAGGGCTGCACAAAATCACACACACACACACACATATATATATATATATATATATATACATACACACACATATGCACATATACACATATATATTTATATATGTGTGTGAGATTTGCATTTCCGGGTGGGCGCGTGCGCACCGCCCATTGCCGGCTATAGCTGTCAATCACCAGGTCCCGGACGGAGATTCCCCGCTGGCTCCGCAGGACTACAAGTTCCATCATGCCTCTGCAAGTCATAGCTGTAACTGTCAGTTTTGTAATCTTTGCAATGCCTCATGGGAAATGTAGTTCCACAACAGCTAGAGATCCACAGGTTGCCTACCCCTGGTGTAGGCCATTTGCACTACATAGCTCCCGAAGCCTGACTGGAATACTCCTAGGACGTTGCTAAGTGAGGCCTAGTCGTTTACTGCTCACCTCCACCATCACAGGAGTGAGCCTTTGCTCTGAATCAGACCCCCTCACATTCCCTTTCTCTCCCGATGCGGTAGCTCTGAGCTCAGCATTTGAGAGCTCACTTCTGCGATGGTGGAGGTGAGGGGTAACGACTAGGCCTCACTTAGCAACGTCCTGGGAGTATTCCAGTCAGGATTCAGGAGGTACGTAAATGGCCTACACCAGGGGTGTCAAACTGGCGGCCCTCCAGCTGTTGCGAAACTACAAGTCCCATCATGCCTCTGCCTTTGGGAGCCATGCTTGTAACTGTCAATCTTGCAATGCCTCATGGGACTTGTAGTTTGGCAACAGCTGGAGGGCCGCCAGTTTGACACCCGTGACCTACACCTATACCAAGGGCATTATTCACCTTTGGTCAGAGCTGCACAGTTTGGTTTCTGTCTATAGATGCCCGCCATCTGCATAGGCAGTTAATTTGGTAAAGGTGAACTAACCCTTTAAAAAACGCACCTAAAGCCACAATGGTGAAGTGGTTAGCATTACCACCTGGCAGCACAGGGCTATCGGTTCAAATCCCAACCACGGCACCACCTTCCTGGAGTTTGCATGTTGTGCCTGTGTGGGTTTCCTCTGGGTACTCCGGTTTCCTCCCACACTCAAAGGACATGCTGGTAGGTTATTTGGCCCTAGTATGTATGAATGTGAGTTAGGGACCTTAGATTGTAAGCTCCCTGAGGGCAGTACAATTACAATACAGAAGGAATAGGAGGGCCCTGCTCAAGGAGCTTACAATCTAAATTGACCGTGCTATATATGTACCTGGAATAATAAAGCTGCATTTTGCATGCACAGTTGGCCTTAATCCAGGGGTGGGCAACTGTGGCCCTCCAGCTGTTGGTGAACTACAAGTCCCATCATGCCTCTGCCTTTGGGAGTCATGCTTGCAACTGTCAGTTTTGCAATGCCTCATGGGACTTGTAGTTCTACAACAGCTGGTGGGCCACGGTTGCCCACCACTGCCTTAATCCATTCTATTGGCCAGAATATTCATTTATTCAGGCCATTAGAATGTCTCAATGTGCGAACATGCCTAAACGCGGTGAGTGTTAACGCACGTTTGATGTTTTTGCCACTAAAACGCTCCTGTTTGGAACACGCATGTGATGTTTTTTTTTTCTCTGCCTCTGAATGCCTAAATGTGTGTGGACGCAAAGGCTAACTTTGAGGGGCGTTTAGCAGCAGAAAAAAAAAAGTAAAATGTCTGTAAAAATGGTGTTTTGACATCCTGTGTGCATGAGGCCTTGCTATTTCTCCTCAGAGATCCACCATGAACTCTGTTGTTACTGAGAGGCCTGTAAATCCAGTCAGTTCTCTGAGGCCTACTATGAATATTACCATTTCCCCTCGGATATCACTCCTGTTTCTGATGGACCTGTTATAACCCTAGGTTCACATATGTGCGGGTGGTGCCGCGCGGCGGAAAACCGCACGAATATCCGTGCAGCCGCACTCTTCCTTGTGTGTAAAGGGCACGGGAGTACATTCAAATGAATGGGCTCTCGTGCCCGTGCAAAACGCGGCCAATGCGGCCCACACAGCCGCATAGATGTGAACTGGGGGTCAATCCCATCACAGTTTAGAAAATTTTCATGAACATCATTATTTCTCCTCAGATATCCGCCATTACTGTGAGGCCTATTCCAAATCCAGTCACCACTCTGAGGCCTGGTATCACTATCACATTTCTCCTCGCATATCACTCCTATTACTGATGGACGTGTTATAAATCCCATCACAGTTCATTGAGCTTTCATGAACATCACTATTTCTTCTCAAGTATCCACCATTACTGTGAGGCCTACTCCAAATCCATTCACCACTCTGAGGCCTAGTATGACTATCACATTTCTCCTCGCATATCACTCCCATTACTGATGGAGCTGTTATCATTTCCATCACAGCTCATAGGACATTAATGAATATCACTCAAATATGAATTCTCCTCAAATATCCACCATTACTGTGAGGCCTACTCCAAACCCAGAATGCAAGTGTACAATCCAAACGCACACGTTTCTGCGTTAAAAATGGCTGTGTGTATAAGTGGGTGCTGCAGCGACCATTGGCTGGAACAGAACAGAATCAGCAAAGGAGAATGTCGCCAGCACACCGAGGATCACCAATATGGGTCCAAATGTTTTAATAAACGATCATATAGTTACAGCAAGGCAATGTTTCGGAGTGTCGCAGGACACCTTCATCAGGCATCAGCATCACATCGCTGTAACTATGTGATTGTTTATTAAAACTTTTGGACCCATATTGGTGATCCTCGGTGTGCTGCTGACTTCTCCCTTGCTACTCCAAATCCAGTCACCACTCTGAGGCCTAGTATGACTATCACATTTCTCCTCGCATATCACTCCTATTACTGATGGACCTCTTATAATTTCCATCACAGCTCATAGGACATTAACGAATATCACTTTTTCTCCTCAAATATCCGCCATTATTTTGAGGCCTACTCTGAATCCAGTCACCACTCTGAGGCCAAGTATGACTATCATATTTCTCCTCGCATATCACTCCTATGCTGGACCTGTTATCATTCCCATCACAACTTATAGGATATTAATAAATATCACTCTTTCTCTTCAAATATCCGCCATTATTTTGAGGCCTACTCTGAATCCAGTCACCACTCTGAGGCCTAGTATGACTATCAGATTTCTCCTCAGATATCACTCCTATTACGGATGGACCTGTTATAAATCTCATCGAGCTTTCATGAATATCACTATTTCTCCTCAAATATCCGCCATTACTGTGAGGCCTACTCCAAATCCAGTCACCACTCTGAGGCCTCATATGACTATCACATTTCTCCTCACATATCACTGCTATTTCTGATAGACCTGTTATAAATCTCATCGAGCTTTCATGAATATCACTATTTCTCCTCAAATATCCGCCATTACTGTGAGGCCTACTCCAAATCTAGTCATAACTACAAGGCCAAGTATGACTATCATATTTCTCCTCAGATATCACTCCTATTACTGATGGACCTGTTATAATTCCCATCACAGCTCATAGGACATTAATGAATATCACTCTTTCTCCTCAAATATCCACCATTACTATGAGGCCTACTCCAAATCCAGTCACCACTTGAGGCCACCATTACTATGAGGCCACTTGAGGCCTCGTATGACTATCACATTTCTCCTCACATATCACTGCTATTTCTGATAGACCTGTTATAAATCTTACCGCGCTTTCATGAATATCACAATCTCTCCTCAGATAGCTGCCATTACTATGAGGCCTACTATATCTATCTAGGCCCCTTATAAAAAAATATTCCTTTCCTGACGCCTATCATGAGTATAATGTTACACGCACAACTAATATCTGTATTTATACCATTTGCTCGGAGGGTTATAATGCGGCTTTGCGCCTCACAGTTCCAGAATGCGGACTCCCACCAAAAACATGGCCGCTCGATTTTCTTTGCGGCGACTCCGCTTTACGATGACGTCGCGGCGCAAGCGCGCAACGTGACAGCTCAGCTGCTGGAGTGTTCCGTGGAGAAGCTCCGCCCAGGGAGTTGCGACAACTTCCGGTCAGCGAAGAGATGGAACCTGGCGGCCAGGGTGAGCTGGAGGATAGGGGGGAGATGATGTTGTAAGTTTGGTGTGTGCGCCCTCCGTTTGTGCCCATGTGACCTCCAGATAGGGCTGGCAGCTGGGTGTACCAACATGGCGGCCCTTGTCACTGTGTCCCCCCCCCATGTTGCCAAGTGGTGGGGGGGGTGGAGGTAGCTGTGTCATGTGAGGAGGACTTGTCATGGTGTCCTTGTCATATAGGGAGGTGTCAGAGCTGTGAGGCCGGACCTGCCCTATGTTTTCTCCATTGTTTATATTTTTAAAGGGCATCTGTCACCCGTACTGGGCACAGGGTTCTGCTGAGGCCTACAGATCACCATGGCAACCCTATTAGTGGAAGGTCAGGCCAGGTCTGCAGAGGAAGCCATGACATGGCGGTACCTGGTAAGACGGGGACCATAACATGGCGGTACCGGGTTAGACGGGGGCCATGACGTGGCGGTACCGGGTTAGACGGGGCCATGACGTGGCGGTACCGGGTTAGACGGGGGCCATGACGTGGCGGTACCGGGGTTAGACGGGGCCATGACGTGGCGGTACCGGGGTTTAGACGGGGCCATGACGTGGCGGTACCGGGTTAGACGGGGCCATGACGTGGCGGTACCCGGGGTTAGACGGGGGCCATGACGTGGCGGTACCGGGTTAGACGGGGGCCATGACGTGGCGGTACCGGGTTAGACGGGGGCCATGACATGGCGGTACCTGGTACCTGGTAGAGACGGGGACCATGACGTGGCGGTACCATGACGTGGGGGTTTAGACGGGGACGGGGGCCATGACGTGGCGGTACCGGGTTAGACGGGGGCCATGACGTGGCGGTACCGGGTTAGACGGGGGCCATGACGTGGCGGTACCGGGTTAGACGGGGGCCATGACGTGGCGGTACCGGGTTAGACGGGGGCCATGACGTGGCGGTACCGGGTTAGACGGGGGCCATGACGTGGCGGTACCCGGGTTAGACGGGGGCCATGACGTGGCGGTACCGGGTTAGACGGGGGCCATGACGACGTGGCGGGATATACCGGGTTAGACGGGGGCCATGACGTGGCGGGCGGTTACCGGGTTAGACGGGGGCCATGACGTGGCGGTACCGGGTTAGACGGGGGCCATGACGTGGCGGTACCGGGTTAGACGGGGGCCATGACGTGGCGGTACCGGGGGTTAGACGGGGGCCATGACGTGGCGGTACCGGGTTAGACGGGGGCCATGACGTGGCGGTACCGGGTTAGACGGGGGCCATGACGTGGCGGTACCGGGTTAGACAGGGGCCATGACGTGGCGGTACCGGGTTAGACGGGGGCCATGACGCGGCGGTACCGGGTTAGACGGGGGCCATGACGCGGCGGTACCGGGGGGAAGACGGGACCATGACGCGGCGGTACCGGGGAAGACGGGACCATGCCGCGGCGGTACCGGGGTTAGACGGGGACCATGCCGCGGCGGTACCGGGGTTAGACGGGGACCATGACGCGCCGCGGCGGTACCGGGGTTAGACGGGGACCACGACGCGGCGGTACCGGGGTTAGACGGGGACCACGACGCGGCGGTACCGGGGTTAGACGGGGACCACGACGCGGCGGTACCGGGGACGGGGACCACGACGCGGCGGTACCGGGGTTAGACGGGGACCACGACGCGGCGGTACCGGGGTTAGACGGGGACCACGACGCGGCGGTACCGGGTTTAGACGGGGACCACGACGCGGCGGTACCCGATGGACCACGACGCGGCGGGGCCATGATGCGGCGGTACCGGGGAAGACGGGGGCCATGGCAAAGCTTTATAGAATTCATTACAATCGGAGATCAGCTCGGGCGTTTTCTGATCTCTCCATCCTGACAGCGAAATCTCCCGGGCCGTTTCCCGCCCCCCACAGCACATGTAAGCAAAGGGGCGGGGTTCTGGTGACATCATTGCCCTTCTATTGAATCAAACCCATATTTGGTCAATGTCATTGGTCATACGCGTTACATTGTACAATCTTCTTTGTTGCCCATACACAGCACAATCTGATTGTACAGCCCACTTTAAGCTCAACATCCCCGGTAATAAGATGGACGTACCCAGGGGCAAACTGATCATTTGGAAACTTGGGCACGGCTTGGGGTCAGTAGGGGGCCCCATGAGATTCCCCTGGTACCTTTTTCATAGGCTTTTTTGAGTTTGGGCAAGGACACAGGGGCCCCATAATCCCCTATTGCCCGGGGGCCCCATGAGTTGTTAGTCCGCCCCTGGACGTACCTATTACAGTTTGAGTGGGCATCTCCCTTACAGATGGATGTACACGTTACAGTCTGTACGGCCCCCTTTACGATGGACGGGTTGTACTTTGTATCTCCAGCATAAAGGAGATTGTACAATCTTAATGTAACGTGTATGACCAATGACATGCTACATGTATGCCCGCCTTAAAGGGGGCTATACAGTCACATACTATACAGTATGTTTCAGTCTGATTGTACAGCCCGCTTTGGGATGGACTTACACAGTATAATCTGATTGTACTGTGTATGACCAACACAAGAAAATTGTACAGTTAGGTTGTAGTGTGTGTGTCCATCGTACATGGGGCTATACAATCAGATTGTAACAGATACATCTTTTACGGGGCTGTACATTCAGATTAGGAAGGATGTATACCTTTCAGTCCCCTTTAAGATGGACGTACATGTTACAATCCGATTGCACAGTCCCCTTTAAGATGGACGTACACGTTACAATCCGATTGCACAGTCCCCTTTAAGATGGACGTACACGTTACAATCCGATTGCACAGTCCCCTTTAAGATGGACGTAAACGTTACAATCCGATTGCACAGTCCCCTTTAAGATGGACGTACACGTTACAATCCGATTGCACAGTCCCCTTTAAGATGGACGTATGCATTACAATCCGATTGCACAGTCCCCTTTAAGATGGACGTATGCATTACAAAGGCAGCTGTACAATCAATTTATGTCCATCATAAAGGGGGCAGTACAATCGGATTGTAATGTGTACATTCAGCATAAAAGAGATTGTACGGCCTCCTTTAAGATGACATGGTCTGACAATCATCTATAAGATGGACATACACAGTACAGTCTGATTGTACAATCATCTATAAGATGGACATACACAGTACAGACTGATTGCACAATCATTTAACAAATGCCCCCACATTAATAAAATAAAACGGCAATTTTTCCATTCAGATCTGCAGGGCATTGCAGCCAGGTAGGTACAGACATGCAGTTGCAGATGGGACATGTCGTCCAACCATTCTCAGACTCCTGTGAATGGATGAGGTGTGCCTTTGTCCTTATTGGGAGATTTCCCTTCACCTCCTGTTCTGATCCCAGCTGTAACATTTTGGATTTCCCATCACTTCCTGTGCAGGAGACATTGGTCATCGCAACCGGGACGGTGAATGTTCCTAGCAGGGACACAGATCCCAATAGGAGAGGTAGGGGCGAGGCGCTGGAAGTGAATTCCCCACTGATATCAATAGAAGTTCTTAGGTTGGCCTGGTGGGATTGAGTTTGGCAGTTATCCACAAAAAAAAAAAGACGTATTCCGCTCCTCAACTGCCACCCAGACTGATTCCGCTCCTCAACTGCCACCCAGACTGATTCCGCTCCTCAACTGCCACCCAGACTGATTCCGCTCCTCAACTGCCACCCAGACTGATTCCGCTCCTCAACTGCCACCCAGACTGATTCCGCTCCTCAACTGCCACCCAGACTGATTCCGCTCCTCAACTGCCACCCAGACTGATTCCGCTCCTCAACTGCCACCCAGACTGATTCCGCTCCTCAACTGCCACCCAGACTGATTCCGCTCCTCAACTGCCACCCAGACTGATTCCGCTCCTCAACTGCCACCCAGACTGATTCCGCTCCTCAACTGCCACCCAGACTGATTCCGCTCCTCAACTGCCACCCAGACTGATTCCGCTCCTCAACTGCCACCCAGACTTCCGCTCCTCAACTGCCACCCAATCACATTCCGCTCCTCAACTGCCACCCAATCACATTCCGCTCCTCAACTGCCACCCAATCACATTCCGCTCCTCAACTGCCACCCAATCACATTCCGCTCCTCAACTGCCACCCAATCACATTCCGCTCCTCAACTGCCACCCAATCAAATTCCGCTCCTCAACTGCCACCCAGACTCGTTCCGCTCCTCGGCTGCCACCCAGACTCGTTCCGCTCGTCACTGTCATACAAACACATTCTGCTTGTCAACTGCCACCCAGACACATTCCGCTTGTCAACTGCCAGAAATATTAAAGCCGCCGTGTGTGCTTGGCTTGTGATTTTGCACAGCATGTATTGGTGGCTTTCATGAGCCGTTCGGTTTGCGCCTCGGGGTGGAACATAGTTGTCAGACCAGCCTTGTGTCTTGTGCTCACACTTGTCACCCAAGGGTGTGTCCTGCTCCCTGTGTGACTGCGTCCTCCAAATACAATATTTACAGTGAGATGGGCTAGATAGCATATCGATAGGGAACCAGACAAGCAGGGCGGGGCGACAAGCAGGGCGGGGCGACAAGCAGGGCGGGGCCACGCACAAGGTAGCCAGTGAAGCAAAAAATATCAGTGGAGTGAAGCTGAAGATGGCGGGGTTATGTTTTCCATCAGCATCTAGAAGAAGGTCAGACCTGCAGAAGAACAGGAGAGATGACTAAATGTATCGAACCCAGAAATGTAATAGATTGCAGCTCAGCACTCCTTCCATGTGGCGGCTGTACTGGTGCTTCTTCATTCAGGATTTCATGTTACCCTGGTGATCCTGCCAGCAACACCATTCATTTCAGAGGGTGAGATTGCTGGCAGGATCAACAGGTGATTCCCATGGCAAGCACAAGTATGGAGCTGCAAGCTTTCTCCTTCCGAGATTTCTTTTTTGATGATCATTCCAGACTGGATTGATCCTTTTTTTTATTTTTGGCCCACCAGATGAAAATTTCTCAAGGATACAGTCAGCCAATCAGCGAACTCCAGGTGCTGATCAGACCAGCGATGTTCACCCTCCATCTATTGAACGCCTCAACAGACAAGATTCAGGGCTGGTTCACACTATAGAAACACAGTCCAGTGCATTCTGGATGCATTTCTACATGCGCGCTTTCGACACGTTTTTTACGTGTTCAGGTGCATTTTTTATGCATTCCAGTAAATTTTTCCCTCTTTTTTTTTTTCTTCTCTTGCATTTAAATAGGAACATGTGCATTCCTGTTCATTTTGATGCATTCCAGATGCGTTTCTACATGTGCACTTTCGGCGCATTTATGATGTGTTCGGTGCATTTTTTATGCTTTCAGTTCATTCCCCCCCCCCCCCCCTTTTTTTTTTTTTTCCATTGAAATAGGAACATGTGCATTCCAGTACGTTTTGATGTAGTCCAGATGCATTCCGGATGCGTTTCTACATGTGCACTTTCAACGTGTTTTTTACGTGTTCAGTGAATTTTTTATGCATTCCAGTTCATTTTTCCCCCTTTTTTTTTTCCATTGATATAGGAAGTGCATTCCTGTTCGTTTTGATGTTGTCCAGTACATTCTGGATGCGTTTCTACATGCGCGTTTTTGGCATGTTCTGGTGCATTTTTTATGCGTTCCAGTTCATTTTTCCCCTCTTTTTTTTTTTTTTCCTTTGTTTTTTTTTTTTTTTTCTTCAATTGAAATAGGAACATGTGCATTCCAGTACGTTTTGATGTAGTCCACATGCATTCCAAATGCATTTCTACATGTGTGCTTTCGACGCGTTTTTGACGTGTTCGATGCATTTTTTTATGCGTTCCAGTTAGTTTTTCCCCTTTTTTCTTTTTTCTATTCTGCTATTCCAGTGCATTTTGAAATAGTGAACAAGTGCATTTTTGAGTGCCATTTTTGATGTAGTCCAGTGCCCCAGTGCATTTTGTGTAGTCCAGTGCATTCCTGATTTTGATGTAGTCCAGTTCCAGTGCGTTTTGATGTAGTCCAGTGTGCGTTTTGATTAGTCCAGTGATGATGTAGTCCAGTGCATCCAGTTTGATGTAGTCCATGCATTCCTGTGCATTTTGATGTAGTCCAGTGCATTCCAGTGCATTTTGATGTAGTCCAGTGCATCCCAGTGCATTTTGATGTAGTCCAGTGCATCCAGTGCATTTTGATGTAGTCCAGTGCATTCCTGTTTTTGATGTAGTCCAGTCCAGTGCATGCATTCCAGTGCATTCCAGTGCGTTTTGATGTAGTCCAGTGCATTGTGCCAGTGCATTCCAGTGCGTTTTGATGTAGTCCAGTGCATTCCAGTGCATTTTGATGTAGTCCAGTGCATTCCAGTGCGCTTTGATGTAGTCCAGTGAATTCCGGTGCGTTTTTGATGCAGTACAGTACTGTGCAGGAAAAATGCAGCTTGTTCAGCTTTTTTTTTTTCTGCAACTGGACCTGCCAGCACTGATGTGAACTATGACACTGACCACCATAGAACCTTTTTTCTGTGCGTTTTGGATGTAGAAGAGGAGCACACTGAAACGCATGGAGTGTGAACTGGATCCTCACTCTCTGCCGATTGAAAAGCTGGGATTGGGGAGGTCACCTGATCCGGAGCTGATCTCATTGATAGCACGTGATTGAAGAAGTCGCCATCTTTTCTGTCTGGTGGGCAGAAACTAAGATCGGTGTCTGTTCTGGCCACTAGCAATAATCACTATATTCTCTCGCGCCGGTAAAAAAAATCGGCCGACAGCCTCCCAGAGAGCTCCGCTATTTCTGACAGTTCCTTCACATGCCCTCCGCCAGGAGAACACAATAGCTCTGCGGGAGGGATTCTTCCCCCATCAACATCTGACATCTATAGTTGCTGGGAAAAGAAATCCTCCTCCTCTTCTCTTCTTCATCCTCCTCCTCCTCCTCCTCTTCTTCTTCTTCTTCATCTCCCATCTATCCTCTTCTTCTTCTTCTTAGTCACTCTCTCTCATCCTTGTGCCGGGTGACTGGTCTTGTCTCCACCCCCTCCTCCTCTTCTTCTTCATCATCCTCATCCTCCTCCTCTTCTTCTTCTTCTTCTTCTTCTTCATCAGTAGGTTTCTGTAGGCAGCCTGTGGTGGGTGGAGCTTCTGGGTTCCTCCCCACAGCTCAGCTCTCTGTACAACAGGAGGTCTCCATACTACGGCCCTCCTCCCTCAGGTGTTGAGGAACTGCAAGTCCCATGAGGCCTTGCAAGACTCTTGACAGCCACAGGCAAGACTGGCAGAGGCATGATGGGACTTGTAGTACTTCAAATAGCTGGAGGGTCATCGTTTGGAGACCCCTTCTGTACAGACTGTGTACAACAGAGTGGCGATGCCACTGCTACTTTTACAAGGTAAGATCTGAATTTGCAAAGGAATTTGGTGTAAACAAATTATATTTATATCTTTTCTGCCTTTTTTAGTGGTAGTATATTTGAATGAAAGGTGTTGCGCGTGTGCCAAAGTTCAGTTTTAACAGTGACTACCATTTTGGAACCAGGCCCACTGTTGTCATATAGCAAACAGCCTCAGCAAATCTTGATATTGGCCACATCTAATGACCGTGTGCCGCACCGCTTGTCGGCTTTAACACGTGTCGATTATCCCTGCCGTGTCCTGCAAACTGCATCTGGCGCTCTGCAGATTATATCATTGTCATAATCAAATCAGGTTTTATGGTAGGACAGGATGCGTCCGGCGTGTGCTGGGACAGGGCCCCTTCCTGTTTTTTACACTGCCAGTTTCCTCACTGCTGGCCTTGCAGTTTCCTTTTTTGATGCGTGACCCCCGTCCTAGTAGATGCCCCCACCCAGTGTCTCCCATACGGCTGTCCCTTCAGCCGTCGCTGTGATTACATCTTCTGAGCGTTTGCAGTCAGCGTAACAAGTTTGCGCACAGGGTGGTGTTCAGGGTATAAAACAAACAGGATTTCTAGAATATCTCTCCAATTGCTATTATTATATATATATATATAAACAAATTTTTTTTTTTTTAACCACCTTCCATCCAGCCGTTGTATATAAACGGCCGGACAGTGGCAGTGCAGGTTCGGGTCGCCGTTTATAAACGGCCTCCCCGCACCCTGCTTGTGCGTGCTCCCTGGAAGCGCGCAGCACCGCGATCCGGTGCCCGCTGTGTCCTCCGGACCGATCATTGGAAGGGACCCCTGTACGATGTCCCGATCATGTGATCACTGATTGGCCAATCAGTGATCACATGCAGAGTAGTAAGCAAGATGTGACATCATTGCTTACTACATGTGAAAGCTGTGAATGATCACAACAGCCTTGTACCATATGACAAGCTGTGACCAATCACAGTTCACTCAGTAGTTCTCAATGGCTGCAAGAATACAGCCAGAGAGAAGGAGAAATGATTGCTTTTACAGCCTTTATGGGTGTAAAAGCAATCAGTGTAATAAAAATTAAAAAAAACAAAAAACATCTTCATCACCCCCCACAAGTAGTACAGTGTCACCATGGTGACACTGTACTGCTAGGGTGACAGTATGTAAAAAATAAATAAAAAAATAATATATAAAAAAAAAAAGTTAAAAAAAAATGTTTAAATTATAATCTTTGGTTATAAACTAATTTGAGTTTTTTTTTTTAAATAAAAATATAATGGGATAAATTTTGGCCAACATTTATGATGAAATATTATTTATTTGCAAAATTTTATAAGAAAAACCCTTTTTTTTTCAAAATTTTTGGACTTTTTAATTTATATAGCCAAAAAATAAAAATCCCAGTGGTGAATAAATGCCACCAAAATAAAGCTTTATCTGTCTCAAAAAAATGCAAAAAATTCATATGGGTACAGTGTTGCATGACCGCGCAATTGTCATTCAAAGTGTGATAGCGCTGAAAATTGGCCTGGACAGGAAGGGGGGTGAAAGTGTCCGGACTTGAAGTGGTTAATAACGGCATGCGGTCCCAGTAGCTGTTCTTCCATTTCTAACATCATTTTGCAGCAGTTGTTTTCTTTCCAATAGAATAATAAATGGTTAAAACCAATTTTTTTTTTTTTTTAATCAAATCAAAGATATTTTTTTACAAATTTTGTAGGTTTAAAAAAAAAAAAACAAAATAAAAAGATAGTACATATAAGAGATTGCAGCATACATTGGCACCGTAATGACACCAATATTAGTAGTTTATATTTTGCTGCCTGTGTCTTGTTGTAAATGTTTTCTTCACCTTCTGTCCCAGAGATATTTAACAGGAAGTGAGAGGAAATCTTAAAGCGGAACTAAACCAATCAATTTCATGGTTTCTAAAAATATGTTCTATTCCTGGCATGCTGTGAATGGTAACTGTCACATTTGTTTGCGCTCTCAACCAAACTGTCAAACCATGAAATGGCCGGTGTCATAACTGATCACATGTGCAGCACAATGGCAGTTGCAGATCAAACAGAGGCTTCCTTGGCTGTAAAGGAGAGGAGGGTTTAGTTCCACTTGAAGGTGACAGGAATTCTCCATTTGATAGTTGTCACCAGAGTAAGTGTCACCCTTGGAAGGTTTACCATATCCCTTGTTCTGGTGACAAGTGTACAGTTTTGGACATCCCTTCATACGGTGATAATCACCGGGACAAATCGGGTGAGTCAACCTAGCGGACGCATAGTAATACAAGAACAAATGGGTTCTTACCCTTCCCTACTCCATATTAATCCTACAAAACTAACATTAACTGCTTCCCCGCCGCCCTATAGCAGAACTACTGTTACAGGGCGGCAGGGCTGCGCAAAATCACGTATATATATGTGTGATTTTGCATTTCCAGATAGGGGGTGCGTGCGCCGTCCTACATGCGCCACCATTGGCGGCAGCAGCTACAGATGTCCATTACTGGGTCCTGGCTGGAGACTCCCTGCCGGCGATCGCTGAGGAACAGTGACAGGGGAGAGACCTGTGTTTAAACAACACAGGCCTCTCTCCTTCCAACAAGGACGTGCTGCACCACCCTACCTGCATGTAAACAACACAAGTCTCTCTCCTTCCAACAAGGACGTGCTGCACCCACCCTACCTGCATGTAAACAACACAGGCCTCTCTCCTTCCAACAAGGACGTGCTGCACCACCCTACCTGCATGTAAACAACACAGGCCTCTCTCCTTCCAACAAGGACGTGCTGCACCACCCTACCTGCATGTAAACAACACAGGTCCTCTCTCCTTCCAACAAGGACGTGCTGCACCACCCTACCTGCATGTAAACAACACAGGTCTCTCTCCTTCCAACAAGGACGTGCTGCACCACCCTACCTGCATGTAAACAACACAGGCCTCTCTCCTTCCAACAAGGACGTGCTGCACCACCCTACCTGCATGTAAACAACACAGGTCTCTCTCCTTCCAACAAGGACGTGCTGCACCACCCTACCTGCATGTAAACAACACAGGTCTCTCTCCTTCCAACAAGGACGTGCTGCACCACCCTACCTGCATGTAAACAACACAGGTCTCTCTCCTTCCAACAAGGACGTGCTGCACCACCCTACCTGCATGTAAACAACACAGGTCTCTCTCCTGCCAGCAAGAAACATGCTGCACCACCCTACCCGCGCCACCATTGGTGACTACAGATATCGATCACCGGGTCCTGGCCGTAGATTCCCTGCCGGCATCCGGCGATCCCCGAGGAACGGTGACAGGGGAGAGACCTGTGTGTAAACAACACAGGTCTCTCTCCTGCCAGCAAGGACACAGCAGATAAATACACAGCAGCTTGTTTCTATAGTAAAACAGCACACAGTTAACCCTTTGATCGCCCCAGATGTTAACCCCTTCTTGTCCAGTGACATTAATACAGTGTCAGTGCTTTTTATTAACACCGTTCACTGTATTAGTGTCAATGGCAGTTAGTCATTTCCCCCCCCAGTATCAGAATGCCCGCCGCAGTCCTGCTATATGTCACTGATCGCCACCATTACTAGTATAGAAAAAAAAATATAAAAATCCCAGTATCTATTTACACACAGTACCAGTATCTATACCGCCATTTGTAGACGCTATAACTTTCACGTAAACCAATTAGTTTACACATATTAGGATTTTTTTTTTTAGCAAAGAATAAAGTTCTAGCTTTTACAAATGGTGGTCTACATACTGGGATTTGTATACATTTATGACAAAATCTGATTTTTTTTTTTTTTTTTCTGGATATTCTGCACAATGGGCAGGATGGGTTAGAGGGGGTGAGAGGAAGGGATGGGAAATATAAATATTGCCTGATGTCAGGCTTTAATTTATTCACAAACATTTTTTAGGCTATGTAAGGATTTGGAAAAAAAAAAAAGTCCTTTTGTGGTCACTAGTATGTTGTACATGCGGGGTCACCAGGTCCCCCAATACTGTGTGGTTTGTATGTGTAATCCTGGGTGGGTGTTTTCCCTGCTGCTTCGTGGTGCTCATTGTTTGCTTTTTGTGCTCATCTACCATCTTGAGATGCTGCTGACATGCTGGCGTTTGTCCCACCTATGCTTGCTTGACCCCCTCCCTCTCACCGTCCTTTTGCTTTCTGACAGACATCAACCTTAACTCTCCTAACAAAGGTTTGCTGTCAGACACCATGACCGACGTTCCCGTGGACCAGACAGGATGTCGAGTGCCAGCTGATGCCGCAGGGGCAGGGCTACCAGAGGGTTTGACAGATGCTGAAGTCGAGGAGCTGCAGGCTGACCTGGCCAAGGTGCGTCCAAAAGCGAGACCTTTTGTTTATTGAATACGTTTAGCAGTCGCATCAATTTACAGAAAACTGTAGCAGCTGACTCCGCCCCAGAGGAGCCTATCCTATTACATCATAGTCATCACACATGTACACGAACAATGATGAAATGGTTTGCTTCAACTCCAGGTAACCTACCAGCATGTACGATTGTGAGAGAACCTGAACTTATATACAGTCTTCATGCAAATGGTATTCATAACCTACATTTTACATTACATTATACAGTGTTTATATAGCACCAAAGGGTTTGCTGAGCGCCGTACATTAAAGTGGGGGACAGTACAAGAGATTGGAGGCAAAAACATCCAATCAGTCAGGTATTGAAGTATTTATTTGCAGTGTTTTCCTTTCTGTAAATTATTTTCCCAAATTGTCTTCCAGGATAGCACGAGACAGACACCTCTTTCAGCAGAAAAGCAAAATCACCAAAAACACTTTAACCACTTCCCGTCCGGTCGTTGTCAATGCAGGGGTGGGTGGCCGTTTATAAACAGCCTCCCCGCCCCCTGGGAGCGCACAGCACCGCGATCCGGCGCCCGCTGCGTCCTCTGGACACAGTGGAACACCGACCATCGGACGGGACCTCTGTGTGAGGTCCCGATCATGTGATAACTGATTGGCCAATCAGTGATCACATGCAAAGTAGTAAGCAAGATGTCACTTCTGACATCATTGCATACTACGTGTGAAATCTGTGAATGATCACAGAGGTCACATGGTACAGAGCTATTTACAACAGCCTCGTACCATGTGATAAGCTGTGACCAATCACAGCTCACACAGTAGTTCTCAATGGCTGCAAGAATGCAGCCAGAGAGAAGGACAAATGATTGCTCTTACAGCCTTTATGGGTGAAAAAGCAATCCGTGTTAAAAAAAAAAAAAAAAAAAAAAATCACCCCCACGAGTATCACCATGGTGACACTGTACTGCTAGGGTGACAGTATGTAAAAAAATAATAATGTAAAAAAAAGAGTTTAAAAATTATAATTTTTGGTTATAAACTGGGTTTTTTTTTTTTTTTTTTTTTTTTTACTAAAATGATAACGGAATAAATTTTTGCCAAGATTGATGATGAAATATTATTTATTTGCAAAATTTTGTAAGAAAAACACTTTTTTTCCAAATTTTTGGACTTTTTCATTTTCATAGCAAGAAAAAAATAAAAATCCCAGCGGTGAATAAATACCACCAAAATAAAGCTTTTATTGGTCTCAAAAAATGCTAAAAAATTCATATGGGTACAGTGTTGCATGACCGCGCAATTGTCATTCAAAGTGTGATAGCTCTGAAAGCTGAAAATTGGCCTGGACAGGAAGGGCGGAAAGTGTCCGGACAGGAAGGGGGGGAAAGTGTCCGGACAGGAAGGGGGGGAAAGTGTCCGGACAGGAAGGGGGGGAAAAGTGTCCGGACAGGAAGGGGTGTGAAAGTGTCCGGACAGGAAGGGGGTGAAAGTGTCCGGACAGGAAGGGGGGGAAAGTGTCCGGACAGGAAGGGGGGGAAAGTGTCCGGACTGGAAGGGGGGGAAAGTGTCCGGACAGGAAGGGGGGGAAAGTGTCCGGACTGGAAGGGGGGAAAGTGTCCGGACTGGAAGTGTGTCCGGACTGGAAGGGGTGTCCGGAAAAGTGTCCGAACTTGAAGTGGTTAAAAGGAAAATCCTCTGATTTGGTCAGTTATTGTGTTTTCTCTGTCTGGGGGAAACACATCGCTTGGAACTTAGTGGAAGGAGGCTCCACTCAGGATTCTCCTCTGCAGTCCTCCACACCCCCCCCCCCCCCCATTCTTTGCCTTCCCTCCTTGATGGTGGAATCCATGTCCATTCCTTGCTTCCCCAGTCCTGTTCTCTCTTTTTCAGTGCCTGAGAAGGCCAATGCAGGGTGGTGACTTCCCCCTTGGTGGGCTGGCGTGGTTCCCTTCTGGTGGCAATACGGGGACATGCTTGCTGCTTTCATCCAACCCTTAGCTCACTTGATCAGTGGGGCAATGTTGCTGCCTGGGTGCTGTAGCTCCTGGGTCTCTGGCTGCAAAAGGGCCGGGGTATGTGGGTAGGCGCCTCTTGTGGCCAAGCCTTCTAGGGGAGGTGGTGTGAAGGCCAGAAGACAATTCTGGGAGTTTTCCTCCTCTACCCCCTGCTATGATTACCTCGGGGGGTCAGTATCTCCCCCGGTGACAGAAGCCAGTGGCACCAGCCATATTCAGGAAAGCTTGTAGCCATTAGCTAAGCTCGTCTCCCTGCTGCTGGTTTGTGTAGTCTGTGGTTACTGCATTTCTTCCCCTCAGCATTTTCTGTGGAGTCTTTTTGTGACACAGAATCCTTTGGTGGTGGCCTTCAGGTGTGGTGGCACGGTTGGCTGTATTTCCCTTGGCAGTGAGTTGCCTTTAGGGTCAGATGTAGGCTATTAGTCGTAGGCCTTCTTCTAAGGCACACTGGACATTTAGCCCCTGTGCGTCCAATCCTGGCCCCGAAGATGTGCTGTGGCTATATACAGTACCGAGTGGGCGAGGTTTAGGGCTGTATGGGTTCAGGAACAGAGGTATTCTACATTTTGGACTTATGAGCACATAGGGCCCTGAACGCCAGTGTCCAGCCACCTCGTATTTCAGCCTATCACAGACTTTGACAGGCTTGAATGATGCATCTGCTCCTCCCAGGCTCATCAGAACTCTGGGATTGGATGCCCATGGGCTAAACGTCATATGTCCATATGAGTACCACTTGATACAGCATCCAGTCACCAGTTGTGTATCTCAGAGGGCCTGACATTCATGTGGATGCTACTTTTCAAGTACCACCTACCTAAATATTGTTGCTGACCAAGTACACCCCTTCATGGAAAAGGTATTCCCTGATGGCTGTGGCCTCTTTCAGCAGGATAATGTGTCCTGCCATACTGCAAAATGGTTCAAGGATGGTTTGAGGAACGTATTCCCTGATGGCCGTGGCCTCTTGCAGCAGGATAATGGATCCTGCCACACTGTAAAAGAAGGTTCAAGGATGGTTTGAGGAACGTATTCTCTGATGGCCGTGGCCTCTTTCAGCAGGATAATGGATCCTGCCACACTGCAAAAGAAGGTTCAAGAATGGTTTGAGGAACGTATTCCCTGATGGCCGTGGCCTCCTTCAGCAGGATAATGGACCCTGCTACACTGCAAAATGGTTCAAGAATGGTTTGAGGAATGTATTCCCTGATGGCAGTGACCTCTTTCAGCAGGATAATGGATCCTGCCACACTGTAAAAGAAGGTTCAAGAATGGTTTGAGGAACGTATTCCTTGATGGCAGTGGCCTCTTTCAGCAGGATAATGGATCCTGCCACACTTCAAAACGGTTCAAGAATGGTTTGAGGAACACAACAATTTTGACTTGGCCTCCAAATTCTCCAGATCTTAATCCAATCAAGCATCTATGGGATGTGCTGGGAAAACCATTCCAATCCATGGAAGCCCCACCTCACAACTTACAGGACATAAAGGATCTGCTACTCACAGCTTGGTGCCAGATACCACAGCATCCCTTCCGAGGCCTAGTGGAGTCAATGCCTCGATGGGTCAGGTCTGTTTTGATGGCAAAAGAGGACCTACTCAATATTAGGTGGGTGGTCATAATGTTATGGCTGATTGGTTTATTCTTAAGGGAAGATCTATGTAGAAATAAAGGGTCCCTTCCCAGTACAGATTGGCTTTCATTTCATCATGCAGTTATTTGTACTGACGTTTCTGGCTCTGAAAACACAATTAATAAAGAAACTGACCACTAACCTACTGCCCATGCATTGTCCTAATTATCAGTCGTTAATGATCCCTGTTTTCTGCCCTGTAGGTAGAGGAGGAAATCCTTACCCTGCGCCAGGTTCTTGCTGCCAAGGAGCGCCATTCAGCGGAGCTGAAAAGAAAGTTGGGGCAGACCACCCTCAACCAGCTGAAGGCTAACCTGTCTAAGGGCCTGCATGAAGTGCAGATGTCCACTGCGTATGTGTCCTCTTTGTTTCCTTATGTCGTCATACATTTGACTTTGTGTAGTCGTGGGCCTTATTTTATGGTGTATTTAAGCTGTAAAGTTGTACAATAGGTTGGGAATGTCTGGTTAAAGTGCAAGATTAGACATAGAAATGAAACATGTTCTCCCCCCCATCCTGCTTTAAAGTCATTGCAAACCCTTACATATGCCCAGTGAAGTGACTGGCCTCAGGTGACACACAGATTCTCCTACATAGGTTGTACCTGTTTATCTGTAGCCATCTCTTCTCTACAGCTGTTCAAAGTTCAGAATTTATACAGTTTGTCTGAGCCTTCAGAAGGCATAGGGCAGGGAGCTGAAGTTACTCTGCAGATCTCAGTGAGGGGAGCTGAGAGCTTATTGGAGGCAAAGGCCAACCCTCCCCCCTCTTCACATCACACACAGGAACAAAGCTGAGGCTCTGTGCTGGAACGCCCTTCCTCGTCACTTGTTTTCTCTCGGTGTCAGGAAAACTTGTCAGAAGTGACTCAAGCAGTTTGCAGAGGAATGAGGCAGCAGAAAGAAATGACACTTAATGGCTCTTGCTGCTGTATCAGCCAATGAGGATCGAGATTGCTGAGAGAGCCTTGACTTTCATGCACATTGCTGGATTGAGATTCGGCTCAGGTATGTATTGGGGGCTGCAAGGGGAGCTGCATGCAGAAGGTTTTTTTTCCTTACTGCATAGAATGCAGGAAGTCAGGGGTGTCCAAACTATGACCCTCCAGCTGTTGAAATACTACAAGTCCCATCATGCCTCTGGGTGTCTTGCCTGTGGGTGTCAGAGTCTTGCAAGGCCCCATGGGACGTGCAGTTCCTAAACACCTGGAGGGCCATAGTTTGGACAACCCTGCAGTAAGGTAAGTAAAAACCTTCTGCCTTTACAACCACATTAAAGTTGAAGTTTAAAGCGGAGTTCCACTCACCGGTCAAAAAATAAAAATCAGCAACTACAAAAACTGTAGCTGCTGACTTTTAAATAACAGCCACTTACCTGTCCCTCGGTCCCGTGGTGTGTCCCCCGCAGTCCGTTTCACCGGCCGTCCTGTATTCCAGGAGGACGGCATCTTCAGTGTGGGCACCCGGCTGTGATAGCTTGCGGCTTCACATCCGGGTACCCACTGCGCATGTGGGAGTAGCTCTGCGCTTCATGAATGGTCCTGTGATGGACCTGTCACATGTCTCAAAAGACTACAGGGAGGGAGGACACCTTCCGATTGCCTAGGTGATCGGACTGGAAGTGGGAGTGGGTAACTGTCAAATTCGGGTACCCGCTCACCCCCCCCCCCCCCGCCCCCCAAAGGTGCCAATCTTTAAATGGGGAGTGAGGGAGCAGTCCTTAAAGCAGAACTTCCCCTTTTGGGTGGAGCTCCGCTTTAAAGTAAGCAAAGAAGAGCCGGTACAACTGTGCAAGACTGAAGGGAAGGCCGGAGTTCGTTGTTGAACCTCAGAACTCCCCCTCCCCATTGTGTAAGGTTTATCTCTCTGTTAAGTGTCTTCCTTAAAGCACAACCTGCCCTGGTGGCTACACCTGTTCCTGCGCTCTCATTAAAAAATATCTGATCTCCGATTTTGTTCCAGTTATGTAAAAACCTCAGAGAAATTCGGAGAGTGGAACGAGAAAGTGACTCAGTCTGACGTGTGAGTTTCCATGCAGTTGCACTTCTCCTGGCTTTCTGCAGGGGGCCCTGTCCTTGTTGATGAATGGAGTGAGCTGATGGGCGAGTGTCTGTGTGCCGGCAATAAGAGCGGCACGGTGTGTGAGCAGAGGTGACGGTCGGTGGTTTTTCCAGCTCTTCTCAGCCATCTCTTCTCTACAGTTGTTCAAAGTTCATAATTTATACAGCTTGTCTGAGCCTTCAGGAGGCATGGGCAGGGAGGTGAAGTTACTCTGCAGAGCTCAGTGAGGGGATCTGATTGGAGGCAAAGGCCAACCTTCACATCACACACAGGAACAAAGCTGAGGCTGTCAATCACAGGCTGTGTGCTGGAACTCCCTTCCTTGTTGCTTGTTTTCTCTCCATGTCAGGAGTGACTCAAGCAGATTGCAGAGGAATGAGGCAACAGATACAAATGGATCCTGCTGCTGTATCTGAGCCAATGAGGATCAAGATTGCTGAGAGAGCCTTGACTTTCGTGCACATTGCTGGATTGAGATTCGGCTCAGGTATGTATTGGGGGCTGCAAGGGGAGCTGCATGCAGAAGGTTTTTTTTCCTTACTGCATAGAATGCAGGAAGTCAGGGGTGTCCAAACTATGACCCTCCAGCTGTTGAAGTACTACAAGTCCCATCATGCCTCTGGGTGTCTTGCCTGTGGATGTCAGAGTCTTGCAAGGCCTCATGGGACTTGCAGTTCCTCAACACCTGGAGGGCCATAGTATGAACACCCCTGCAGTAAGGTAAGTAAAAACCTTCTGCCTTTACAACCACATTAAAGGTGAAGTTTAATCTCTTAAATGGAAAAAAAAAACCTTCCAATTTTCATTCTATAATTTATTTTCAATGCATTGACATCGTCACAGGATCTCCATGCATCTCTATGCAATTCAGGCAGATCATAGCTGGTGGGAGGAGTCAAAAAGGGGCTGTACATAGCTCAGTAAAAACATCGCAGCTTCCTGCCTCAGTACTCCTATCATCTGCCCTCACCCCCGGTTCACACCTATGCGGCCGTGCGGGCTGCGTTTTGCTCGGGCACGAGAGCCCATTCATTTGAATGGACTCCCGTGCTCAGTGACACGCAGGGAAAGAAGTCCCTGCATTACATTGGAATACGCAGCCGAGGTTCCCAGTACGGTTGCGTTTCCCAGTGCGGGCGGCGGGCTATTAGAAATAAAGGCACCCGCCCGCAGGTCCTCAATTCTCTGTGCGGGTGGTGCGTCTGCACGGATTTTCGTACGGATCCTCAGCGGCACCACCCGCACAGATGTGAACCGGGGGTTAGCCATGATGCAAGCAGTGGGTTGGGACTTGGGAGGTGTTAGTCTGGAGGAGGGAGTATTCCAAGGCAGGATGTATTTGTTTGCAGTCTGCGTTAGGTGACATCCATACGTGATGCATGGGCTCCATGACAGTCGGGCTGGGGAGTAAAGTGCTAGATGATGCTTGATGTCTTCCAGGCAGGAAATGAAGCAGGCTCTATGTGACTTGCTGTTGTAAGAACCTTACATTGTGCAGTGAATTTGAAGTAGACTGAAGGGAAGGCCGGAGTTCGTTGTTGAACCTCAGAACTCCCCCTCCCCCATTGTGTAAGGTTTATCTCTCTGTTAAGTGTCTTCCTTAAAGCACAACCTGCCCTGGTGGCTACACCTGTTCCTGCGCTCTCATTAAAATATCTGATCTCCGATTTTGTTCCAGTTATGTAAAATCCTCAGAGAAATTCGGAGAGTGGAACGAGAAAGTGACTCAGTCTGACGTGTGAGTTTCCATGCAGTTGCACTTCTCCTGGCTTTCTGCAGGGGGCCCTGTCCTTGTTGATGAATGGAGTGAGCTGATGGGCGAGTGTCTGTGTGCCGGCAGTAAGAGCGGCACGGTGTGTGAGCAGAGGTGACGGTCGGTGGTTTTCCAGCTCTTCTCAGCCATCTCTTCTCTACAGTTGTTCATAATTTATACAGCTTGTCTGAGCCTTCAGGAGGCATGGGCAGGGAGGTGAAGTTACTCTGCAGAGCTCAGTGAGGGGAGCTGAGAGCTGATTGGAGGCAAAGGCCAACCCCCCACCCCCCCTCTTCATATCAAACACAGGAACAAAGCTGAGGCTGTCAATCACAGGCTGTGTGCTGGAACTCCCTTCCTTGTTGCTTGTTTTCTCTCCGTGTCAGGAGTGACTCAAGCAGATTGCAGAGGAATGAGGCAGCAGATAGAAATGGCTCCTGCTGCTGTATCAGCCAATGAGGATCGAGATTGCTGAGAGAGCCTTGACTTTCATGCACATTGCTGGATTGAGATTCGGCTCAGGTATGTATTGGGGGCTGCAAGGGGAGCTGCATGCAGAAGGTTTTTTTTCCTTACTGCATAGAATGCAGGAAGTCAGGGCTGTCCAACTATGACCCTCCAGCTGTTGAAGTACTACAAGTCCCATCATGCCTCAGTGTCTTACCTGTGGATGTCAGAGTCTTGCAAGGCCTCATGGGACTTGCAGTTCCTAAACACCTGGAGGGCCGTAGTATGAACACCCCTGCAGTAAGGTAAGTAAAAACCTTCTGCCTTTACAACCACATTAAAGGTGAAGTTTAAAGCGGAGTTCCACTCACCGGTCAAAAAATAAAAGTCAGCAACTACAAAACAGTATCTTCTGACTTTTAAATAACAGCCACTTACCTGTCCCTCGGTCCCGTGGTGTGTCCCCCCCGCAGCCCGTTTCACCGGACGTCCTGTATTCCAGGAGGACGGCATCTTCAGTGTGGGCACCCGGCTGTGATAGCTTGCGGCTTCACAGCCGGGTCCGTGCTGCGCATGCGCATGTGCGAGTAGCTCTGCGCTTCATGAATGGTCCTGTGAGGGACCTGTCACGTGTCCCAAAATACTACAGGCAGGTAGGACACCTTCCGATTGCCTAGGCGATCGGACCGGAAGTGGGAAAGTGTCAAATTCGGGTACCCGCTCACCCCCCCCCCCCCCCCCCCCCCTCCAAAGGTGCCAATCCTTAAATAGGGAGTGGGGGAGCAGTCCTTAAAGTGAAACTTCCCCTTTTGGGTGGAGCTCCGCTTTAAAGTAATCAAAGAAGAGCCGGTACAACTGTGCAAGACTGAAGGGAAGGCCGGAGTTCGTTGTTGAACCTCAGAACTCCCCCTCCCCCATTGTGTAAGGTTTATCTCTCTGTTAAGTGTCTTCCTTAAAACACAACCTGCCCTGGTGGCTACACCTGTTCCTGCGCTCTCATTAAATATCTGATCTTCGATTTTGTTCCAGTTATGTAAAAACCTCAGAGAAATTCGGAGAGTGGAACGAGAAAGTGACTCAGTCTGACGTGTGAGTTTCCATGCAGTTGCACTTCTCCTGGCTTTCTGCAGGGGGCCCCGTCCTTGTTGATGAATGGAGTGAGCTGATGGGCGAGTGTCTGTGTGCCGGCAATAAGAGCGGCACGGTGTGTGGGCAGAGGTGACGGCCGGTGGTTTTCCAGCTCTTATGGTGGTCTTCATTCTAACACGCTGCTTAACCTAGAATAACGGGTGTTACGGCTTTCCCTGGGCTTTGTGTGCTGGGTGCTTGTCTGCCTCCCGGTTGTTGGTCTGTTTATATAACACGCTCTCTCTTTGTCTGACGCAGATACAAGAAGACTCAAGAAACCCTGTCCACCGCCGGACAGAAAACGTCCGCAGCGCTCTCTAACGTCGGCTCCGTCATTTCCCGAAAGCTGGGAGATATGAGGTGAGGGATCGGGTTAGGTAGTTGTAATAGAGAGCTTTGCATGTTTAACCCCTTTACGCCGGCGCCTCCCGGCCCTTTAAAAGTTCCAGAAGGCGGGGTTTAGGGTCATGTGACCGCCGTGACATGCGGTCACATGATCGGGAAAGGTCCCGATCGAAAGAGGAGATCGGGACCTTTCCATGAGTACCGGACATGCGTGCTGGCAGTGCGCAGGGCACACGTTCTCAGCACATATGTCTTTATTAATAGAACGCAAATGTGCGGCCGCTCGGCATCTAGGCCCAGGCGCTGGGAGGCCGCACATTTGCGTTCAGCCGGCGCCAAGAGGTTAACTCGGCAATTCGTTTTCATTTTGCAACCTCTGCTAGAACTTTTTCTTTTTTTTTGGATGGGGGTGTGGATGGTGAAGAGCTGTGAACAGCTCCTTGTTGGGAAAATTCCCCTCACTATCTGTGAGACATCCTAACACAGACAGTGCCACTCGGGCAGTTAGTGGAAGTAAAGGCAAAAACCTAACTAATGCAGGCCATAGACGGGTCGTTTATGGGTCGAATTTTCGTCTGAAAGAATAATCGGCCGATATTCGCACCATTAGTGGGGTAATGTCGTCAGCTGATTTTTGCGATTTCTCTTCGTTTCTTTTATCGGTCATCCTGGAAAATTTATGAAAAACGGCTGATTTTCATAAGCATTGGTGGCAACAGAACAATCGTTTTTTTTCTGTTTTTTGTTTTTCATTTTTCGGCCAAAAATTCTATGGCCTGCTTTACTCTAAACCTACTCCCACCCCCGTGCTAAGCCTAATCTATCTAGCCCTGGAAAGAAAAAAAAATGACTATACCTTTGTTACACGCTCCTACACGCTGAAGGCGCTGCTGACAGTGTAGCACCGGGGCGGAGCGCCTACAGAGCAGGCAAGTGTAGAGATTTTTATCTTTACGGGACTGGATAGATTCGGTTTACAATGTGGCTGAAAGTAGGTTTAGAGTTGGTTACGTTTTCACTTCCACTTTAACTACTAGTGACACTTTGAACACTGACGGCAGTAAAATAAATAAATAAAAAATTATATAACTTTTGTGAATTGGGGAATATAAATGAGCTGTTTGCTAATGTTTAGAGAGAGGAAGGGATATAATACACAAAGTGCCAACATCCCTAACGAATACAAGGGGAGGGGGGGAATCCTCTTTTTCGGTGGGACTTTAACGACACAATTTACTTGTATGATAAATTTTAACAATTCAAAAGAGATTTTTTATAAAAAACCGTATGAAATGTTATTTTTACAATCTTCAAATCTTCATGGTTTGCGAACCATGCATGATCCATGATTAGATTTGCAATACCATCTCTGATGACACCACCGCAATATGTATTGTAGCTTTATATTTATTTTTTTTTGAAGATTGTAAGAGGACCTTCTTCTTTTTTTTTTTTTTTTTTTTTTTTTTTTTTTTCCCCCACAACTTTCACTCAGGGTTAATGCATGTTTTCAATTGAATCCTGGAAGAAAAATGTGAAGTTTTGTGAATCTTATATGAAAAAACATTTATAAATAGACCCCATTTTGTGTATTTTACTGTTTAATGTCCTTGAGCTTTACACACGTCTGCCCAATTATGTAAAAAAAACAATTGGTTTAAAGTGATATTAAAGGCAATTCTTTGCCCTTTTTTTTTAAATTTTTTTTTTAACCCTGTGGCACCGGTGTCTCCCGGCCCTTTAAGGGTTTCAGAACCAGGAATTTAGGGTCATGTGACCGTCGTGATTCACCTGCACGACGGTCACATGATCGGGAAAGGTCCCAATCGCAAGAGGAGATCGGGACCTTTCCGTGACATGTGTGCTGGGAGCGCGCTCTCAGCACATATGGTTTTCCTGAGAATGAATAATGAATAAAGCGAGCGCTCAGAAAAACCAGCTGCTGGAACACTTCAAGGAATCACTAAACCTCATAATAGAGACAATATATACATATAGTGCAGCGCTGAAAAAGTATAAAAATGAAATGTGTAAAATATATATATATATATATAAAAGTCTTTCTTATGACAATATAGTCAAATATGTGCAGGTCTTCTCCTCATTAGGTGACTGGAAAATAACAAGATTGCGCACTCACCGACCGCACATTTAAAATGCGCCTGTGTATGATATATTCCAAAAAACCAGCCAGGTATACAGCTCCAGAGACCACACGGATCCTCCCTCTCCAACACTCTCGTTTGCCTTGGGTGTAGCAATATCTCCAGATCCAAAGGTAGAAAGACAGAGATCCCCCTTTTTTGGTTCCAGACACCCCAGGAATGGAAGATGTGTATCTGCACTCTCCAACAGGAGAGTCAAAGAAAAAGGGGAACGCCAATAGTGTGGTACTATCAAAAAACTTTATTGGAGCAATAATGCCTGGGTCATATGCACACATATATCCATACACCATAAGCCAATAACGGACAGGTAGGTATGAAAGGAAATAGTAGTACTAACCCGGCAATGGCATAAAAACAAAGACCACCAGACCTCCTCTTGGTCCCAGTGGTCTGGAAGTCACACTTGCTACTTGGCTCCTCCTGAGGCCTTTCGTGCAAAAAGCACTTCTTCAGAGGATGGACGCCACATATGGTTTTCCTAATTGCACGCAAATGTGCGGCTGCTCGGCGTCAAGGCCCAGACACCGGGAGGTCGCACGTTTGCGTGCGGCCGGTGCCAAGAGGTTAAACATATATGTTATACTCAACTGCTCTATGCAGTGGTTTTGGCACAGAGCGGGCTTGCTCCTGAGTCGCTGCTCTGCGTGTTTATTCCCACACACAGCCATGACTGAGCTCCACCCCCTCCATCTCCTCATTTTCAGACTGGCTGTGACTGTCTCAAATAATGAGGAGGTTGAGTCTCCGGAGAGCTGAGGCTCCCGTGCAGATTTCTGGATCACGATGGGGCTCAGGTCAGTATTGGGGAGGACAAAAGGGTTTTTTTTTATCTTCATACATAGAATGCATGAAGGTGAAAAACCTGGAGCCTTTGCAACCATTTTTTAAACCTAAGACAGGCGTAGTTGTTCAGGAAAGCGTTTAGAGAAACATCTGTAAGGGTGAAAATGCTTCTAAATCTCTGCACCTATATTGTGTTTTTTATATATCTAACCATTAATCTCTTCCATCACTAACACTCTAAACAGCCACACAATGGTCCGGGCAGCTATTTTGCCTCTGGAGGTTTTTGGAGGGTAAGAGATCCTGTGTGGCCGTGTGATAACTATCCACTTTTCTCAGCAGGTCCTCTTAGAGCAGACAGACTGTGTTCCCTCACGTCTCAGAAGGTGGGGTGAAGTTAAAGCTGAAATCCGGGGTGCTGAAAAAACTCTCCGTACAGTGCAAGGGTTAAATGCTCAATTTTGCCTAGGATACTAGTAAAAGGGGCTTTACTCACTTTACTACTTGTACCTGTCAGCAGCCAATGCTCACTTCTCTCCGACATTCCAGGTTGTGGGCGGGGCTTCAGAATGCTCACTTACAATGCAGGACTGCATTGTAACTGTGATGTCACAGTTGCAACCGCAGGCTGGAGTGGCGAAGGGGAGGAGCTTCGGGGGAAGGAGGAGCCTGCATGAACGAGGGATAGGGTAAGTACCCTGGTACCCTAGGCAAAAACAAACATTTACCCCTTCCTAGGGGGGACTCCGCAAGAGTAGTGTTTTTTTTTTTTTTTTAAAGTTCCATGCAGTTCAGATTTAAATCTGACAATTTCTCTTCTGTGTTAAAGAAGGTATTCCCAGCATCCCGTAAGCTGTTTTCCTAGGTTTACTTACAGTGCATCCAGAAAGTATTCCCAGCGCTTAACTTTTGCCACATTTTGTTATGTTACAGCTTTTTTCCAAAATGGATTCAATTCATTTTTTTTCCCTCAACATTCTACAAACAATACCCCATAATGACAACGTGAAAGGAGTTCGTTTTGAAATCTTTGCAGTTTATTAAAAGTAAAAAGAACCCCCCCCCCCTCATGTACATAAGTATTCCCAGCCTTTGCTCAGTACTTTGTTGAAGCCCCTTTAGCACCAATTCCAGCCTCAAGTCATTTTCAGTAAGCTTGGCACACCTACCTTTTCTTGGATGATTTCTCCCATTCTTCTTTGCAGTACCTCTCAAGCTCCATCAGGTTGGATGGGGAGTGTTGGTGCACAGCCATTTTCAGATCTCTCCAGAGATTTTCAATTGGGTTCAAGTCTGGACTCTGGCTGGGCCACTCTAGGACATTCACAGAGTTGGCCCGTAGCCACTCCTTTGTTATGTGGGCTGTGTTCTTAGGGTCATTGTCCTGTTGAAAGATGAACTGTCGTCCCAGTCTAAGGTCCAGAGCTCTCTGGAACAGGTTTTCATCAGGGATGTCTCTGTACATTGCTGCATTCATCTTTCCTTCAATCCTGACTAGTCTCCCAGTTCCTGCCGCTGAAAAACATCTCCACAGCATGATGCTGCCACCACCATGCTTCACTGTAGAGATGGTATTGGTCAGGTGGTGAGCAGTGCCTGGTTTCCTCCAGACATGATGCTTGGCATTCAGGCCAAAGAGTTCAATCTTTGTTTCATCAGACCAGAGAGTTTTGTTTCTCGTGGTCTGAGAGTCCCTCAGGTGCCTTTTGGAAAACTCCAGGCGGGCTGCCATTTTCCTTTTACTGAGGAGTGGCTTCCGTCTGGCCCCTCTACCATACAGGCCTGATTGGTGGAGTGCTGCAGAGATGGTTGTTCTTCTGGAAGGTTCTCCTCTCTCCACAGAGAAGCGCTGGGTCTATTTCAGAGTGACCATCGGGTGCTTCGTTACCTCCCTGGCTAAGGCCCTTCTCCCTCCATCACTCATTTTGGCCAGGCAGCCCACTCTAGGAAGATTCATAGTGGTTCCAAACTTCTTCCATTTACAGATGATGGAGGCCACTGTGCTCATTGGGACCTTCAATGCTGCAGAAATGTTTCTGTACCCTTCCCCAGATCTGTGCCTTGATACAATCCTGTCTCGGAGGTCTACGGACAATTCCTTGGACTCCATGGCTTGGTTTGTGCTCTGACATGCACTGTTACCTGTGGGACCTTCTATAGACAGGTGTATACCTTCCCTAATCATCTCCAATCCCCTGAATGTCCCACAGGTGAACTCCAGTCAAGTTGTGGAAACATCTGAAGGATGATCAGTGGGAACAGGATGCACCAGAGCTCAATTTTGAGTGTCATAGCAAAGGCTGGGAATACTTATGTACATGGGGTTTTTTTTTGTTTTTTTTAATACACTGCAAAGTTTTCAAAACAAACTTCTTTCACATTGTCATTATGGGGAATTGTTTGTAGAATGTTGAGGAAATAAATGAATTGAATCCATTTTGGAATAAGGCTGCAACATAACAAAGTGTGGCAAAAGTTGAGTGCTGGGAATACTTTCTGGATGTACTGTATGTTCATCTGCCTGCGAATAACAAGTAGCATGTGCTCTTTACAGAAGCGGAGGATGCCTTCTTTACTACAAGAGAAAATCTCATAGCTTCTCTCCCGTCCACATTTCTTCCTTTTTCGGTGCACTATGCTATGGTTGTTCATAGGCAGATGCTGTATTGAAACAATTATGTCCAGCATTGCATCAACATGGTATGAAAGGCACACGGCAGTTCAGGCCTTGATGCTGCTCAGGACATATGCCTGTGAGAGCATTTCATGTAAAATGATTCCATCACAAAGTACCTTTTGAAACCACTGTCAAAGGCATTTGCACCTTGTGGGCAGTTGTACTACTTAAAAACAAATCTGCACATTGCCCATACAGGTCAAGCAACAGCTTTGTTTTAAGCCCTGTCCCCTGCTGCTCTTACTACCCTTTCCTTCATTCCCCACCAGTCTGGTCAGCTGCAAGTAGTGGAAAGAATACTTCTGGGTATGGAGGATCACGTGACTTTCTCCATGTGACACTGCTGAGCCAAGACATCAGCGTTGTCACATTAGAAGTGGTCATAGTCCCGTATAGGCAGCAACTTGAGCAGCTCATAGCTAAAGCAGGGCAACTTTTCCAGTTCTCAGTAACTGAGGGCGGCTGCAGGGAAGTGTAGGTAAGGAGGGAACATTGAAGTGAGCCTGTGCTGTATACAGTAGTACGTGTGAAATTGCATCTGTCACAACCTTCAGTATGCATGCCAGGACCCTAATCCCTGGTTCACACATGTGCGTTCTTGCGGGCCGCATTTTGCGCGGGCATGAGAGCCCACTCATTTAAATGGACTCCCGTGCCCTGGGTCACGCAGAGAAGTCCCTGCACTTCTTTGGAAACCTTGGTTCCCAGTACGGTTGCGATTTCCATGATAGAATTAATGGCACCCGCCCGCAGGTCCGCATTCTTTTGTTTGAGTGGATTTTTGTGTGTATCCGCAGCGGCACCACCCGCACAGATGTGAACCTAGCCTTAAGCAGTTGCCATTCCTAGACAAATTTTGCTTCTTCTCAGAGGAGAGATGTATTCTTTTTTTTTCGAAAAGCAAAAAGCTTTATTTTAGTTGCAGATTTCACATTGAAAGGAAAAGGGATACAAAGTCAAGTAAGGAAAATACACTTCTATATCCAAAAGAGGTGCACAATGAAATCTAGGCACCCGTCACAGCAATGGGCTTTCAGTGCCTCTAAAGTACAAAGATTCTAGGCATTACGAAAAAACTTCACACTGCGGGAGTAGAGCTGTCCCGGTACAACAATATGCCCATACAAAAGCACCATTGGAGTGTACGGAGGGTACTAAAATGCCCTCCAACACCCAAGAAGGCTAGAACTACTTTACCTACTCTGTAAAAGTCTAAGAGGGTATAAAGTAACAGGAACATAGTAAACGTTTGAAAAAGCTAGAGACTTTCCAAGAAGAGCCTATACACAGGAGAGACGTGTTCTAAGTTTTTTCTATTTTCTGGAGTGACAAAGCCTTTTATTAGTGTTTTTTTCTGTCTTCTCTCTGCATTATAATCTTTTAGTGATTGATATTCTATGAAAAGCCTGACACCGTGCACTGGGGGGGCATTTCATACTCCTTATGTCAGATAAACAATATTAAGGGAAACTCTGCAGCCTGTGCTGACTCTCTACCTACCCTTCCTCTCCCTTGCAGGGCCCTCCCTTTCTCTCAGTCTTTTAGGTAAGAGGAGATGGTCCTCTGTTCTGTGTTCCTCATCCCACAAACATATATGTATACACCCTTACGCATGTACACACAGATATGAAGTATTCTGTAGATTAGCACACGTTTGCTACCTAGTGTAGATTGGGCTACTTGACGAGAGTACAGCCATGTTGTTTTTGCTAACAGCAGTTTACTGGATATGGATTCTGAGGTTGACCAGTGGTGGCCCCATGCTGGTTGAACAGTCGGAGATCTCTTCTCTTATTGTCTGTCATATCTACAAGATGGCAGTCACAAGTTAACTGAAGAATAGATAGCGGATTGTTGGACTGTTCTATTAAAGGGTAGTTCAGGTCAGGTGTTGCAGCTTTTTTGTAGAGGGCTCCCTCATCCATGAAGGGCCGTGCCTAGGTCATCAGGTAACCTCTCAGAATTTGTAGGACAGGAGTGACAAATGATTTTAATAGTCCAGATAGCAGTCTTGAATGCAGTAATTATTCAGGGAGTCATCACATTTCTGGGGCTCACCTTCCCTTTATCAGGGCTACCGAATATTTTAATTATGATTGCCCAGGGAGTCATCACATTTCTGGGGCCTGCCTCCCTTTATCAGGGCTATCAAATATTTTGACTATGCTCAGGGAGTCATCACATTTCCAGGACCCACCTCCCTTTCTCAGGGCTCTAGAATATTTTAATTATTACCTAGGGGGGAGTCATATTTCTGGCGCCTGCCTCCCTTTATCAGGGTTCTGGAATATTTTAATTATGATTGCCCAGGGAGTCCTAACATTTCTGGGGCCTGCCTCCCTTTATCAGGGTTCTGAAATATTTTAATTATTGCCTAGGGAGTCATCACATGTCTGGGGCCTGCCTCCCTTTATCAGGGCTATCAAATATTTTGACTATGCTCAGGGAGTCATCACATTTCCAGGACCCACCTCCCTTTCTCAGGGTTCTATAATATTTTGACTATGCTCAGGGAGTCATCACATTTCCAGGACCCACCTCCCTTTCTCAGGGCTCTAGAATATTTTGACTATGCTCAGGGAGCCCTCACATTTCCAGGACCCACCTCCCTTTCTCAGGGTTCTATAATATTTTGACTATAATGTATAATCTAATCTTTGATCTATAATATAGAGAGTACATACAGTCTGCTCCGGTCCCTGGTTTAACATCGGATGAAGGGGAGCCATTAAGTTTTACTGTAACAGTCACTTGACATCTTTAGAATTATTTAGGGGATTAAAGAGAATGTGTTGTTTGGGACATGGACAGTGTTCTAAGGACACGTCCCATATTAAAGGGCAAGCTTGAAAGTTGACAGTGGGTGGGGCTAAGTCTGACTTTTATAAAAGTCAAGATTTGCATATCCATTCATCTGTCTATATGTTTGGACCTGTTGGTCATATTCATTTGTTGGTTGTGTAGTATGTTCCCTCGTATGCTTAGGTTACATTTCCTAGTTTGGCACCAAGTTCACTTTCACTTTAGGTACACTGGAATCCTCTCTGTTTTACAGAAATACATCACACATTCATGTAGTATATTACACAGTTGTACATGTTGGAGGAAAACAATGCAAAAGAGCAATGATAGTGTTTAAAGTGCCCCAATCCACAGCCACCGGTCGGCAATATGTGGAGTGTGACGGGCCGGGGTCTGCACATTATCGCTGCTCTCTGCATGGCTTTATATATAATCCTGTGTATCCATCAGAAGGTTCGTGTGGTTCCTCCTCCCGCAGTCTTGTGTATTCAAGGTGGTGGTTTCAGTCCATGCATCTCTGTCCTCCTCCTTTTGTATGTAGTCGGTTGTGTTCTGTTGCAGTGATGTGTCTGATTCTGTCCTATTACTATGCAGCCAGTGATATTATTATTAAAGTCACTTTTTTATGTCTTTGTAAAATCGCAGACATTCAGGAAATACAGATTAAACTGTGGTTATTGATGAAGGAGCAATTTTGTGACTGAACCTTCCCATTTACCAAAGACCAGCAGCATTGCCAAAAAATGCGACCTATTTATTTAGTAGGTTCATTGACGTCAAGAAGACTGTAGCGTACCAGTTCACTAGAGACCTGTGACATCACTGAGAATGCAGCCTATCCATTCACTAGAGACCGGTGATATCACTGAGAATGCAGCCTATCCATTCACTAGAGACCGGTGACATCACTGAGAATGCAGCTATCCATTCACTAGAGACCGGTGACATCACTGAGAATGCAGCCTATCCATTCACTAGAGACCGGTGACATCACTGAGAATGCAGCCTATCTTTTCACTAGAGACCGGTGACATCACTGAGAATGCAGCCTATCCATTCACTAGAGACCGGTGACATCACTGAGAATGCAGCCTATCTTTTCACTAGAGACCGGTGACATCACTGACAATGCGGCCTATCCATTCACTAGAGACCTGTGACATCACTGAGAATGCGGCCTATCCATTCACTAGAGACCGGTGACATCACTGAGAAATGCAGCCTATCCATTCACTAGAGAGCGGTGACATCACTGACAATGCGGTCTATCCATTCGAGAGACCTGTGACATCACTGAGAATGCGGCCTATCCATTCACTAGAGACCGGTGACATCACTGAGAATGCAGCCTATCCATTCACTAGAGAGCGGTGACATCACTGACAATGCGGCCTATCCATTCGCTAGAGACCGGTGACATCACTGAGAATGCAGCCTATCCATTCACTAGAGAGCGGTGACATCACTGAGAATGCGGCCTATCCATTCACTAGAGACCGGTGACATCACTGAGAATGCAGCCTATCCATTCACTAGAGACGGTGACATCACTGAGAATGCAGCCTATCCATTCACTAGAGACCTGTGACATCACTGAGAATGCGGCCTATCCATTCACTAGAGACCGGTGACATCACTGAGAATGCAGCCTATCCATTCACTAGAGAGCGGTGACATCACTGACAATGCGGCCTATCCATTCGCTAGAGACCGGTGACATCACCGAGAATGCAGCCTATCTTTTCACTAGAGACCTGACATCACTGACAATGCGGCCTATCCATTCACTAGAGACTGGTGACATCCATGAGAATGCAGCCTATCCATTCACTAGAGACCGGTGACATCACTGAGAATGCAGCCTATCCATTCACTAGAGACGGTGACATCACTGAGAATGCAGCCTATCCATTCACTAGAGACCTGTGACCTGTGACATCACTGAGAATGCAGCCTATCCATTCACTAGAGACTGGTGACATCACTGAGAATGCAGCCTATCCATTCACTAGAGACCGGTGACATCACTGAGAATACGGCCTATCCATTCACTAGAGACCGGGGACATCACTGAGAATGCGGCCTATCCATTCACTAGAGACCGGTGACATCAATGACAATGCGGCCTATCCATTCGCTAGAGACCGGTGACATCACTGACAACGCGCCTATCCATTCACTAGAGACCGGTGACATCACTGACAACGCGGCCAAACCATTCACTAGAGAGCGGTGACATCACTGCAATGCAGCCTATCCATTCACTAGAGAGCGGTGACATCACTGACAATGCAGCCTATCCATTCACTAGAGAGCGGTGACATCACTGACAATGCAGCCTATCCATTCACTAGAGACCGGTGACATCACTGAGAATGCAGCCTATCCATTCACTAGAGACCAGTGACATCACTGAGAATGCAGCCCATCCATTCACTAGAGATCGGTGACATCGCTGACAATGCAGCCCATCCATTCACTAGAGATCGGTGACATCACTGAAAATGCAGCCTATCCATTCACTGGAGACCGATGACATCACTGAAAGCATAGTTTATTATATATTCGGCTGAACAGCCAAAATGGCTCCTTCATAGCTAGCATTTTCTTTTTGAACTTGAAGATCCTGGCTGTGTGGTTAGTGTGCGCACATGTATTTTCTGCTCGCTAACTCTGCTTTCTGCCCCCCTCATGCCTTCCGAGTAGCAGCTACTCAATCCGTCACTCCATAAGCATGCCTGCAATGAGGTAACGTATACTACCTGTACTAAGAATACTCTGACATGCTGATATTATTGGATGCACAGTCCTTCAGAACATTTTTTTTAAATGAAGTTGTGTGTTTAGATAAACCTATCAATGTGCTCATATTAAAATAAATGATCTTATTTTGCATGAATTTACAAATCCTGCTGTGTGTTTACTGTGTACTTCCAATGCTTCTGTCTAGCATGAATGCTGGATGCACTGTCTGCTATGTAGGTAACCACTGCAGGTAGAGCAAGGGCTCATGTAGTCGGCCCTTGCTATTCCTTTGATTAGCACTTTTATCACAAATTTGCAGCTTTCCATTACTTATGTGGTGTTTGTGACCTTTCTGGGGCTGCATTTGTCCTGCTCTGCATTTCTGATGACGCAGCAAGTCCCCTTGAGATCTGTTGGCATTACAAGCAAGTAGAATCCAGAAACGACCTCTCCTGCGCTCCATGACCCAGAGCAAGGATGGATGGATGGAACCAGAACTTGAAAAATTCGACCACCAATGCATAGAAGGTTGTGCAGCTCCAAACAAGGCTGGGGAAGCCCGACCAGTACTGCGAAGTAAAACAAAAAGCGCACCAACCTTGCGCATCACCTCAGCAAACCAAAATTTTATTGAATTCAGAATAATACTCACAAACAACGAAGTAAATCAAGCATGTAAGTCCTCAAAGGAACTTTAGAAGTGCGAGTCCCATCATAGGGGTAGATTCTCAGAGTACGGCTGATGCGTTTCGAAGGGGTTTCCTTCTTCAGCAGAGCTTTGATGAAGAGGGGACGCGTCAGCCGTACTCTGAGAATCTACCTCTATGATGGGACTCGCACTTCTAAAGTTCCTATGAGGACTTACTCACAAACAATGACATAAATCAAGCATGTAAGTCCTCATAGGAACTTTAGAAGTGCGAATCCCATCATAGGGGTAGATTCTCAGAGTACGGCTGACGCGTCCCCTCTTCATCAAAGCTCTGCTGAAGAAGGGACCCCCTTCGAAACGCATCAGCCGTACTCTGAGAATCTACCCCTATGATGGGACTCGCACTTCTAAAGTTCCTTTGAGGACTTACATGCTTGATTTACTTCGTTGTTTGTGAGTATTATTCTGAATTCAATAAAATTTTGGTTTGCTGAGGTAATGCGCAAGGTTGGTGCGCTTTCTTTTTGTTTTACTTTGCGGCATTACAAGCAAAGCGGGTTAAAAGCAGCCCCCCGCAGTGTTCTGCGTTTCGGTAGTCATAGGTTTTAGGGAAAATTTGAAGCCGTTTTATCAACGTAAGAACATTGAACGCAACCGACATCGTTTTATCAGTGTGTGAAATAAGGACTGTCTCAGTTACGCACAAGCTCCAATCACAGTCAAGCCCACACTAATGTGTATATAAACAAGGGCGGTTTTTGTTGCGCCATGAACACCTCTCATAATCAGACTTTCACTGGAATGAGAGTTTTCAACCTGACGGGGAACTTTGAAGGAAGTTGGCCAGTTCCTAAATAAACAATTCAGTAAATTGTCCCAAGCCGAAGAGGAAGTCATGTAATTGGTCGAAAGCTATCTAGAAATACGGCCTCATCCTCTTCTGTTAGAAAAGTCCCATGAGGTCACCCAGTCTTGTTGGGAAAGTCACGTCATTTTGCCCTCTTTTTGTTGGGAAAGTCACGTCATTTTGCCCTCTTGTTGGGAAAGTCACGTCATTTTGCCCTCTTGTTGGGAAAGTCACGTCATTTTGCCCTCTTGTTGGGAAAGTCACGTCATTTTTGCCCTCTTGTTGGGAAAGTTCCTTCTACGTTTGAATTTGGTCGAATAATTGTGGTTTCACGCTCACCCACCTTCTACAAGAACGTCAGCCTTTTGTTAATTGAGGCGCACTTACCATGGACTTGTATGGAGGAATAAGGGCCGCTTCACACTATATTTGTTTCAGTTGCTTTTTTCTGCATCCAAAATGCACAGAAAGTAGGTGATATGGTGGTCAATGTCATAGTTCACAGCAGTGCTTGCAGTTCCGGTTGCAGAAAAAAAAAAGAACACTTTGCATTTTCCTGCACAGAATTCTACTGGAACGCAGTGAAACGCACATGTCCCTATTTAAATTGAAGAGAGAGGGGAAAAATGCACTGGAATACAAAACCGCACTGGTATGCAAAAAAAACGCACTGGTATGCAAAAAAATGCACTGAATGCATAAAAAATGCATCGGAATGTCAAAATTGCACCGGAATGCGTCAAAAACGTGCATGCAAAAACACATCTGGACTGCGTTTCTATAGTGTGAACTGGACCTAAGAGCAAAGCACAAATGCCATGTACATTAGTAGAATGGATCAGATGTGCAATGTGCAGGAACCCAAAGCAACTCACTGATTTATTTTGTTATCATGTAAAGTCCAGGAAACAAATATTGTTGCTTTGGGTTGTAAGTGTAGGTTCACATCTGTGCGGGTGGTGCGGCTGAGGATCCACACGGAAATCCATGCAGCCGCACAGAGGAATGCGGACCCGCGGGCGGGTGACATTAGTTCTAATGGCACGCCACCCGAACTGGAAAACGCAACCTCGGCTGCGTTTTCAGTAGTGCAGGGACTTCTCTCTGCGTGTCACGTGGCACAGGAGTCCATTCAAATGAGTGGGCTCTCGTGTCTACGCAAAACGCGGCCCACACAAATGTGAACCGGGGGGTAAGGTGTTATTTTGCCTTCTTAAATATCCCTCTAAGTGACTTAAGTGACATTTTTTTGCCTTTCCTATAAGGCTACTTTCACACTGCTCCACTGCGTTTTTTTGGGGTTTTTTTTTGTATTTTCCCCACAGGTCAAAGCACTTCCCACAGGTGCATTGATTGTTTAACCCCCGCTTCACATCTGTGCGGGTGGTGCCGCTGCAGATCCACACGAACATCTGTGAACCCGCACAGAGGAATGCGGAGATGCGGGCGGGTGTTATTAGTTCTAATGGCACACCGCCCGCACTGGGAAACGCAACCGTACTGGGAACCTCAGCTGCGTTTTCCAAAGAAGTGCAGGGACTTCCTTCCCTGCGTGTCATGGGGCACGGGAGTCCATTCAAATGAATGGGCTCTCATGCCCGAGCAAAACGTGGCCCGCAGCCGCATAGATGTGAACCGGGGGTAAGGTGTTTTTGCTGCAGTTTCCATTCATTTTAATGGAGGGATTTGTTTTTTCAGTGCAACTAAAGTGCCATAGATCACTGTGAAGAGAGCCATAGGATTTAAAGAGATGCAGTTTTTTTTTGCTTTGTAACTGAAGAATACACCAAAAGTGGATCAGTGTGACAGCAGCCTAATTGTGCATGATTGTGGTGATGGTGGGGGGGGGGGGGGGGGGGGGGGGGTCATTGTCATTGCTGTGATTGGCTATTGAGACAGTAGATCCTTAAACCTTATTCTGTTTTATCCTTAGGAACTCCGCCACCTTCAAATCCTTTGAAGAGCGTGTGGTGGGTGTAAAGGTACGACAAAGATTATTATTCAGGATTTATGGCGCCAACAGTTTGCTCAGCGCTTTACAATATAACTGGAGACAATACAGCAACAATACAGTTCAATACAAGAGGGATAGGAGGGCCCTGATCCTGGGAGCTTACAATCTAGGAGGGAGGGGTGAGTGGTACAAAAGGTAGTAACTGTGGGGGATGGAGTGGTTGGAGGCGTGGAGGATATCAGTATTAACAGAGGGTGGGATAGGCTTCCCTGAAGATTTGATGTATTCAATGGCTCAGAGACCAGGCCACTTTACGGAAAAGACTTTGTATGTGTTTTTAACCCTTTCACGCCGGCGCCTTTAAGAGTTTCAGAAGCCAGGAGGCGGGGCGGGGTTTAGGGTCATGTGACCGTCACGGCGGTCACATGCTCAGGAAAGGTCCCGATCGAAAGAGGAGATCGGGACCTTTCCATGACTACCGGACATGTGTGCTGGGAGCGGGCAGGGCAAGCGCTCTCAGCACATATGTTTTTTAATAGAACGCAAATGTGCGGCCGCTTGCCGTCTAGGCCCCAGAGGCCAAACATTTGCGTTCGGCCGGCGTGAAGAGGTTAATAGATGAAAATGTGACTATTTTGGGAACTTAGTGAAGATATTTAAAGGGCGCCTGTCCTGGTTCCTGACAGACCTGCCTTCCTACTTCAGTACCAGCTCTGCTGTGGGGAATCTGACAGTGGCGGCCTGGCCCTGGAGCCCCGCTCCCTGTTTACTGCGGGTGTTGTGTGACAAACGTAGATTTACCAACTGCACTTTCATTGCAGACAACTTAGGGCTTGTTCACACTTGACTTTGTTTCTAACTCTTGCCAAACGCCCCTATAGCATTAGACAGGCATTTGGGAAGCGTTTTTAATGCTTTAACCCTCAAGGGGCATACAATCTAAGGTCCCTAACCCTCAAGGGGCGTACAATCTAAGGTCCCTAATCCTCAAGGGGCGTACAATCTAAGGTCCCTAACCCTCAAGGGGCGTACAATCTAAGGTCCCTAACCCTCAAGGGGTGTACAATCTAAGGTCCCTAACCCTCAAGGGGCGTACAATCTAAGGTCCCTAACCCTGAAGGGGCGTACAATCTAAGGTCCCTAACCCCAAGGGGCGTACAATCTAAGGTCCCTAACCCTCAAGGGGTGTACAATCTAAGGTCCCTAACCCTCAAGGGGCGTACAATCTAAGGTCCCTAACCCTCAAGGGGCGTACAATCTAAGGTCCCTAACCCTCAAGGGGCGTACAATCTAAGGTCCCTAACCCCCAAGGGGCGTACAAGCAAAGGTCCCTAACGCTCAAAAGGCGTACAATCTAAGGTACGTTCACTTTTAAGAATACTGCATGTCCTGCCCATTGTTAGGGTGGAAAATGTAATATGTTCATGCTTCTGAAGCCTTCCCTGTCCCCCTCCCCAACAGTGGGCCAGGGATCTTCTCCCCACAATAGCTGTCCTACTGTGAAATCAGTCATGCGGGGCTCCGCCCACACAGCAGCATCATTTATTCAGACTTCTGTGAATGAATGAACTACAAGTACCCACAGCCTTTACAGCTGATGGCTTGCAGTTCTCAATGAACTAATATCTATATCTATTGCATGCGGCTGTTTACTTAAAATTTATGTTGATAGCGTTGACTTCATTATATTTTATATTTGGAGGAATAATTGCTTGTTTTTTTTGTTCTCTGCAGCCCCGGGTGTCAACTGACAGCAATGAAGAGAATGGAAGCCAGAGATTACACTCACCGGACCAGTCACAGGATTCCGCCCCATTCTAGGCCGCCCTCTCCACCCCCTTTTCCTTTTTAATTTTTGTTTCCCTTTTCTCGTCTTGTAACGACTGCATCATCTCGCAGCTCAGCTGGGCTGCCCAAAAAAAAAAAAAGATAAAAAAAAGTCAAAACAAAACACTAATTCCCTTCCTCCAAGTTTGTGATGTCCCGTGAAATTCGAACATTCCCATTTAAAACTTCCCCCTTTACAAAGCTGGATGCTGCAGGCCGAGACGCACCCAATGCGCTGCCATTGTCCAGCCTCTTCGGCAAAAGGGGGAGGGATTTCCTGCTGGTGACGGTGGCGGTTCTTGATTGCCATACTGAGAAGTGAAGGATTGAACTTGGTTTGGTGTTTTTACGTTTCATTGCATTTGTGGGAAAGGAGGAGTAGGGTGCTGTCCCTGGAGATGGTTGTGTCTAAGGCTGGCCATACATTATCCAATTTTCTTGAGATTTTTGGTTTAGATTTACCAAAAAACCATATAATATGAGGTCAAACCTAACAACACTTTCAGTTGTATCCAATTAGGCGGGTTCTTGCACCACATAGTTGAAGGTAAAGCTAAACAAAATTGGGCAGAAATTGGACAGAAAATTGTTTAGTGTATGCCAGCCTTAGGCACAGGGGGACCCTGCCTGAATAAGAAAGTGTAAATATATTCACAGCCTCTAGAGGGAGCTCTTTCATTTATTCTGGGTAGTGGCTGTCATCTGTCTTCCCTGTTAAAGGAGAACTGTCATGAGAAAGAATGGAGGATGCCATTAACCTCTTCACGCCGGTCGAACGCAAATGTGCGGCCTCCTGGCTTCTGGGCCTAGACGCTGAGCGGCCGCACATTTGCGTTCTATTAAGAAAAAACGTGCCGATAGTGCGTTCCCAGCACACGTCTGGTACTCGCGGAAAGGTCCCGATCTCCTCTTTCGATCGGGACCTTTCCCGATCATGTGACAACGTGTCATGGTTGTCACATGATCCCTAAGACCCGCCTCCTTAAACTCTTAAAGGGACAGAGAGGCACCGGCGTGAAGGGGTTAATGACTGCTTCAGTAGCTCGAGTCGCTTGTCCAAAGCAAGTACGCAGTGAAGGACTGTGTGCTTGCTTCCGTTCAGCGGCTTGGGTAGTACTGAAACCACTGAAGCAGACTAACAGCCATGCACTTAGCATGTTTGGAAGGAGGGTCAGTAATGGGCCTCCTCTGTGTTTCTCCCATGATACATTTACTTTTGCCAAGCTGTATATCTGAGAAGCCTTCGGTGGAAGCAGCTATTCTCTGATGCCAGGGCCATGTGCTAGGGCCTCCGATGCCAGGGCCACGTGCTAGGGCCTCCGATGCCAGGGCCACGTGCTAGGTCCTCCGATGCCAGGGCCACGTGCTAGGTCCTCCGATGCCAGGGCCTTGTGCTAGGTCCTCCGATGCCAGGGCCTTGTGCTAGGGCCTCCGAGGCCAGGACCACGTGCTAGGGCCTCCGAGGCCAGGGCCACGTGCTAGGGCCTCCGAGGCCAGGGCCACGTGCTAGGGCCTCCGAGGCCAGGGCCACGTGCTAGGGCCTCCGAGGCCAGGGCCACGTGCTAGGGCCTCCGAGGCCAGGGCCACGTGCTAGGGCCTCCGAGGCCAGGGCCACGTGCTAGGGCCTCCGAGGCCAGGGCCACGTGCTAGGGCCTCCGAGGCCAGGGCCACGTGCTAGGGCCTCCGAGGCCAGGACCACGTGCTAGGGCCTCCGATGCCAGGGCCACGTGCTAGCTCAGTAACAGTGAAGCTGGATCTTTTATCACATGACAGCCCTAGAAATTCTATGCAGAAGCTGTTGCAGCAGGTTACCTTTTTGACTTTGTTTTTTTTTTTTTTTTTTTTCCCCCCCCAGAGCTGCCTCTAATTTCACAATAGATTTAGGTTATGGATGTAGAACACTATAGAGAAAAAAAAAAATAAAACGTCTGTATCAGAGATTGCCAGCCCCGTGGCTCTACAGCCCGCCGTGGTCGCTTAAAGAGCCACAAACGGGCACATTTCTGGATTAGTCGCTGCAGTTATTGAGCAGACTCTGCCTAGCTCCCGATTCCTCCGTCTTCTAACCCGTGTCTGTAACGGTCTCCGGGGTTCAGCGTTTACGCGACTTTCTGAACTTCGCTCCTTCGAGAATGTCTTGTGTGTCCTCGCAGGAAACAATAGAATGCAAAATAAATGCGCCTGCTTACAATAAAAGGTCTCTCACCTCTCTCTCTTCGATACTTGAACTGCTCTGCGACCCTGAGCAGAACAATGCAAAGAGAAGCGAATCAAATCTAATATACAAGACATATATAGAAATGTATCATAACCTTGTCTGTGGCTCATGTTAACTATGCCTTCTCTTGTGAGACTTTTGTGCCGTTCCCGGCGCTTCATGGTCACTTTTCCTTTTTTTTCTATTACATTGATTGGCACCTGTTGTCTAAAATAATTTGGAACTCGTTTTGTGGGGTAAAAGTATTGCATGAAAGTTGACTAGAGTTGCACATGGGCCCATCCCATTCAGCCATGCATAATGCAGCCTATTAAAGCAGCCAATTCCATTTTGTTTTTGGAGGAGGCCTGACTACAGTTGCTGAAAATCTCATTGGTTGCTTTGTCTTTGGTGCGTCCTCATATGTTCATTGAGGATGGAGCTACACGGGCAATTATAATCTCTTGCTACTAAGAGATTTAAAGCGGAGCTCCACTCACTCTGCAAAAAAAATTACAAAAACTGTAGCTGCTGACTTTTAAAGAAACAGCCACTTACCTGTCCCACAAGCCCGTGGTGCCCCCGCTGCAGCCCTTCTCACCGGCCGTCCTGTATTCCAGGAGCCCGGCATCTTCAGTGTGGGCTCCTGGCTTTGACAGCTTGCGGCTTCATAGCCGGGTGCCCACTGCGCATGTGCGACTGCACTTCATGAACGGCTCCGTCGTCTCCTGGGACCTGTCACATGTCCCACAAGACTTCGGGGAGGGAGGGGAGGAAGATATAACTTCCGCTTTTGATCGCAGTGGGAATCTGTCAATTTCAGGTACCTTCTCCCCCTCCTTTCCCGCTCCCCCAAAGGTGTCAATCCTTAATGGGCAGAGGGGACCAATCTTTAAAGTGGAACTTCCCCTTTTGGGTGGAACTCCGCTGTAACTACTTCCTTGCAGTCATCTCATCAGGCTAGAACTGCACAGGGGATGTTCAGTTGCTCATTCCTGCTGGTAATTCACTAGGACTGTATTGTGAGCAGTTGCTTGCTATGGAGTAAACTACACAAGTAACAAACACCCCCGGTGATTACTGACACTGAATCAAGCCACTGCGTATTTTCTTCTACTGAATTACTCCTAACCAGGAGCGGACTGACCATTTAGCCACTCGGGCGCTGTCCGAGGGCCCGGGGTTGATAGGGGCCCATGAGATGCCCCTGGTACCTTTCATAGGCTTTTTTTGGGTGTGGTTTGAGTGTGGGCAAGGACGCAGGGGCCCCATGATTGCCTATTGCCCGGGGGCCCCATGAGTTGTCAGTCCGCCCCTGCTCCCAGCGGTGCAGCCCTCCTGAGATAGGAGAATCCAATGAAACACAATAAACGAAAAAGCCAAATTCCTACAAAAGAAAAAAAAAATGTATCATATGACATCATGGGGTCAGTGTGGTGTCATGTGACCTAACTGGCGCATCACTATTTCGGCCAGCTGACGCGTTTCAGGGGAACATTCATCCGATCTCCCATTGAGGAGAGCGAGCAGCTCTGTGTCTGCTCTGCAGCAGCCGAGCGGACACAGAGCTGTCATCCACTTGCTCAGCGGAGAGATCCCATCGCTGAGCAAGCGGATTCACTAAATGGGTCCGCCCCGTGTGAACGGACCCTTAGGCTAGAATTTTCAATCTGTGTATCTCTAGCCCTTTGCAATGACTGTTGGCAAGAGGATTAATCTCTCAGATTAAAATAGTTCTTGTAGTTTTGGCCCTTAGCATCTTAAATGTTGGTTGATGTTGCGTGGTCATCACGGAACCCCAAGCACGCTGCGAGTTCATTAAGTTCCACAGATCACCCGTCGTCCGTAACAAAGGATACTCCTACTCCACAAAATGGTTGGGTCAGCCGTGGTGACAGGTGCCCTTTAGATCATATGTAGAGAGTCTGAGCGCCGTGTGCTGGCTTGAAGGGAGAGACTGCTGCTATGTAGTGATAATTCAGATGACTGGGTCAAAGCGTATGCATATTAGTAGATTGGTTTGATCTGCTAGAGGTATTTAAACAAAAAAAAAAAGCTTGCGAGAGTGCCGCATAAAGTCTGTTTGTTGTCTGCATTAGTTTTAGCTGTGCTGGTTTCAATTGATCACTGTGACACATATAACCAAAGCATTCAAACTGTTCTGCCATGTGCAAAGTTCCTGTTGTGTCCATTAGGGGGCCTACCTCTTTCTGTCCCGCCGCAGCATAGAGGAGTGGCTGAGGTTCGTAAGAAATGCGATTCGGGTCCTGCATGCAAGAAGGAACGCTGCTGGGCTTGTAGCTCTTTAAACTGCCCCCCCTACCCCTCCCCCACTGTTAGAGGGCAGGACCCAGGGCTTTCTCTTGCTCTCGCCCTATGTTACTGTTGGATGCAGAGCTATGTCAATAAAGCATTTACTAGTATGTTTTTGTTGTTGGTGGATTATTCTTGGGGTGGATTGTGATTTGTTTGTGTGATACACATTGGTTTAAACCCCTTCAGCTCTCATACCTGTATTATTATTATTATACAGGATTTATTATTATTATTATACAGGATTTATTATTTTATTATACAGGATTTATTATTATTATTATACAGGATTTATTATTATTATTATTATATATTATACAGGATTTATATATTATACAGGATTTATATATTATTATTATTATTCAGGATTTTTATTATTATTATTATTATTATACAGGATTTATATATTATTATTATACAGGATTTATATATTATTATTATTATACAGGATTTTTTTATTATTATTATTATTATACAGGATTTA